AAACCTAAACAAGGGCCATAGAGATAAACTTAAACTCATTGTCATAATTAGGCCTACTCCTTAGCAGCCAAAGATAAGGGTCTACAATACAATCCATGATTAAGGCCTGGTCCTAGTTACGGTATTAAAAGGGGCCTATTAAGCTTAATCAGAATAAAGTTAGGCCTACATGTTTTCAAAAATCAGTCTGTGGCTCAACACCATGTTGCATGCCTTGGTTTTAAATCCTCTTATTACATCAGAGTTAAATTAGTAAACAAATAACTTATTTGTTGGGTGTAGGCATACAATGATTGGGCATTGGGCAAGCCTACCTTCAGAGAGTTCCAAATCCAACTCTGCGAGTTTGTCCCTTACGTCTTCTGGAAGCTTGGAGATATCTATTCCAAAGTCTGCCATTGTAAGACTAATAAAACACTAAAATATCTAAGAAATATCACAACACTACACATATATAACATACAAACAAAGCCATTTCGAAAAATTGTTGTAACCAGAACACCGACACAAAACAGACTGATTAGTTTGGACTGTTTGGAGTTGAAGTTGCCAACGTTTGCCGATAGCAGACGCCACAGTCGATTGTGTGAAATACAAGCCAATTTAAAAGGTTGGGCTTTATATGTAACAAAAGTATAAATCGAGCATATTCCTTTGTTAATAATTTATCGTTTATTTATTTATCCTAACGGTTTCTTCATTTAATACAGTTTGGTACTTATGAGTATAAAAACGATCTATATAGTTAGTTGATAGAATTTATTCAATAGAATTATATGAACGAGAGGTCGTCCAGTGGTCGAAACTCGACCAAAAATATGTAATGTACTCACTTATCTATTTTCACCCCACACTGTAAATAAAACATGTGATTGGAGTTTCTTCCATTTGTTTTGATTTTCTGTTTATATTTCGTTGTTATTTCGTAACCAGCATAGCAACGCATAAGATCCATGTTAATTTTTTCAAATTTTTAAACTCATTTTTTGTGCTTATCTTTGAGCCTATTTAAATTTATAAAGGGATTCTGCACACCTACAGGAAAATAGCTTTCCAACGGTATGCGTAGATTTTCCCTACGATGCACACGAGCTGAGAAAAAAGGTTTTAAAGAAACATGCTTGCCTATTAATATATAGATAGATATTCAAATATGTTATAACTGCCGTTGATTATTCTAAAAGAATTCTATGGGAGGCCAAGTATTTGACGATAAAAACTTGATAAACCCCGCTTTGCAGACTATGGTGAAGATATATCATGATTCTTGAATCGTCGACAAATCCTCTTGCAACGCGGGGATCCGGACATCATCCGTTTCTCACAGCGAGGAAGTGGCACCGTGTTTGTTAATGCTTGAAAGGAACCGTCCACAGTTATTAGTACCGGGGGATTTGGGCCCTTCCACCAAGTTGCTTCTTTTTATGATCCATACAGTTTCAGTTCTAATATCTGTGCACTAGAAGCTGTATGGTCCATATAAACATATATTTAAACAAAATGATGCCCAAAAGTATGGAACTCATCTTCAAACAATATGTTAATGTAATCTTACATCCGACGTTTTCTCCGCGATCAGCCGATCGGGGAATCGTCAATTTTCAACTGTAGAAGGGTCTTCTTTCTTCTAGAGGTGTGACCCAGGGCTAGAGATATACATGGTTGTTAGTAGTCCTGGGTGTGACCCGTGAGAAAGTGTGGTCATCAAACACAACGTCTGAGATGCGTTGTAGTAGGGCCAATGAGTAAGGTATTGTTTGAGTTTTTTGTTGAAGGTATGAGTTGGTGGTAGATTTTTTGCATAGGTTGAAGAAAAAAGAACCTGAATAGGTGGGGTTTTGTTGAATTTTTGAAGTCTATGCCGCGGTAGGTCGATGTTTTGTTTATTAGTGTTGTAGGAGTGTTGCTCTTGTCATGGGGTTGGGGATTTTTGTTTGGCCAAGATTATGGTTTCATCAATGACGAGGAAAAAGACAGTGAGTATTTTATGCTGGGTAAAAAAAAGGTTTGCAGTGCTCCGAGGGTTGCAGGCACAGTATTGTTCTCAGTGTCTCCTTTTGTCGAACCAGGATGCGGTTCATGTTCTTCGCTTGAGTGGATCCCCAGGCAACCATTTCATACCACAGAGTGTGTGGTACGCCAGATTTTCAGTATCAAATTCAAATTCGTTTATTCAGCTAAAATTAACAAAACATTTCTTGCATTAGCTAAGTCAAAAAAGTACAACTCAAGGCTACACATAAATAGTAAGATAGATAATTAAAACATAAGAAGAAGAAGTTATCTAATAAGCAAACAAACTCTAAAACCCCCCACACACTACCAGACCAGACCTCCAGACCAGAGTGTCTGGTCTGGTAGTGTAGTGTGTGGGCCGTGGGGGCTTAAGTCACCAGCTTGCAAACCCATACAAAACATAGAACACAAAATACAGCTCAACAAGTACGTATATGTTTTCTCAATCCTTTGGGTGCTTCATCCGTGACCAATCTTGTTTCGGGTTAGGACATTGCTTCATCGGCCCCAAGCAGAGAAGAGTGACCTTAACCTTCCATTTCATGAAATCCGTCAAATCTTTAGAATCCCGAATCTCACTTAACAAAAACAACATGCACCACTAGGCCTAAATCAAATAAAATCAAATTATCCTTTATTCATTTAAGTAAAATTGTACAGGAATAGAGTCAGATCTTACAAAATAAAATGTTTTACATTGAACTAAAAATAAGACAGAATATTTATTTTATTTGTTCTCCCAAAACTCTTCAAGAGAATAAGGGACAATTTTAATAAGATACTTTTTCAGACAATTTTTATATACCACATCTATGTTTTTTACTAACAAACAATTTATTCGCCTATTGACGTATCTGGAAAATAAGTTTCATTTCATTTCATTTTCATTTTTATTAAACGGCAAACACCATTTTACAAGTGGGTTTAACAAGATTACATTATACATTGTGCATTATACATACATACAACGACAGAGCCATTTGAAAATGAGCTAGAAACAGTTTCCAGCTTAAACACAAAATCAATAAGACAATCGATAGAAAAATCAACAATAAATAACAATAAAAATAAATAACAATATAAATAAATAACAATACAATACATAACAAAACAAATAAATAACAATCCCGTTATATTACAAATTATTATATATCAAGATATTAATATTCGAGAAGATAATCAATCAACAATAGAAATAACACAAATAATTGAAAGGAATATATCATTAAAAACTATAGAAAACAACAACAAGGAGTAACAACAATTGATAAAGGTTTAAAAAAATTTAACAGGGATTAAAATATTAAGAATGAAAACGATACAGTGATAAATCTCAGACAAAAAGAAAAACTTGAATTGACAGAATAATATTGCTTGGCAGTTAGCACTTCCTCTCACTGATTGTGTGGCCCTTTAGAGGCACAACCAAAAACACACTCACTTCACTGCACATGTGGCACTTGAAGTGTGGCCCTCTAGAGGCACCTCCAAAAGCACAAAGACTAAAGCTGGATCTGGTCAGCAGCCCACTTAAACACTACTCTCCTAAAGAGTGGCAATGAAGGCCCGAAGAAATCAAGTTGAGCTGCATTTCCCAGACGAAGTAAACGGGGAACTGTGCTATGGTAAGCGTAGGCAGTTGGCTGGTGATGCTTGGAGAAGGGTCGAGATCTTCGGGTGGAGACTGGGACATGAAAGTTAATCAGTTCAAGAAGTTCAGGACTGTCCACCTGACCATTGATGATCTTGAAGAGTAGTAGAAGATCAAAAGCGGCTCTTCGTGATGTAAGTGAAAGCACACCGTGGTCTACTGCAATCAAGTGGACGTTCACGTCGAGGTAGTTAATGCCATCTCTTACACCAAGCAGCCGGAGAAAGCGCCTCTGGACCATGTTCACTAATGCCACTAATTTGTGTTTACTAATGGACAACCACAGAGAATACTGAGGTCTCATGGGTAAAAATGGCCAGGCCACCTTATCGGCAAGAAAAAAAAAACAAAAAAACAGTATGACTTAGTAAACACAACACAACAACAAACAATATACATAACATAACCTTAAATAATTTTAAGAAAAGGTAATGCCATAAACCCTTGTATTAGTTTAGATACTTACTGCACAATATCTTTAATATGTTTAAATGAGTAATTCCAACTGCCCTCCAGTTTTTGATTCTAAAACGGTTTTGAATAATCATATCCGTGCAAAATTGTTGCATTTGGTACCAGCGTCTTCTTCTGCAGTTGAGGACTTAGCCACTGAGCTATGTGAACCTAGAAGCAATCAAGAAATTTTGAAATTACTTGTGGATGACAACTTGCTAAAAAATGCTGTAATTAATCTGTGAGTATGTTACCTTAGGGAGTATGATTTATCTATGATGTTACTCAAATAAATTATATTAGTGCTTTTATCAGCTGAAAATATGAACATCACTAGGCCTAGGTACATAAAATGAGGTTAGGCCTACTAACTATGTTGTTTACCTTTTGATTGCCAAATATTTTACTAACCTGAGGTTACTAACCTGTTGTCAATCATTCCTATATTTGTCGTGCTAACATTACGGTACAACAAAATCGGCAAACATTATCTTCCTGCACTTGCCGTTGTCAATAATACCTATACACAAACTCGCACATAAAAGGTAGGCCTATGTTGAAAACTTTCCAAGCCTAAATTGCAAACACAAAAATCAAAGTTTGCAGAACACCTAATGAATGAAAATCACAATGTAAAAGGTTGCATACATAATTTAGAGATATTACACAAAAGGTAACTTAACAAGAAGGAAGTTCTCGAAAACTTTGAAATATACAAAGCAATCAAAAATTCACCAAATAATGTATTGAATGAGAAATTGAATTTTGGCTCAAACATTTTATTCGACAGAGTGGCAAAACTACAGAACAATAGGCCTAGAGGAGATAACCCTCTGATACCCCTCCCCCAAGGGCAATGTCATCAAGTAGGCATCGGCTAACCTACACGTCGTATCAATCCCCGCAGTCTGGTTTTGTCCTTGGCCGGCCTAGATCAATTGTACATAATTTTTGTAAATCTAAATGTTTCTGTGTGTGTTGAGGCTATGTATAAAAATGTATTATTGACAATGGCAAGTGCAGGAAGACATGTTTGACGATTTGACGACTGAAGATTTGAAAATAGGGTTTTAACCCCGAAACTATAGTCATCACGACAAGTATAAGATTGATTGACGATAGGTTAGTAACTTAACCTCATGTTATGTCAATTAATCAATCCTGGAGGCAAATGTATCGGCCTAAATCACTAATGTTTGTAACTTACTTGTAAGGATTGTGGATTTAACTTAGGCTAACTTCCTAATCCTGGTTATTGTTCACCAAATACGATTAGCAAAAATGTTGTAAGTTTTTTTTTCTTAAAGCAGTAGGCCTAGGCCTATAGGCTATTTTGGTTTTCTGAAGAATGATAGTTTCTGGCAATAACGGATGGCTTTATTAGAGTTGGTGTTTGGAATAGTGTAAAGAAAGAGTATTAGACCTAAAAGAAAAAAATGTAAGTTAACTGGTAGAAAAGATTACAATCATTTGTCTGTAAATGTTGTTACCAAAGTCTGGATTTTATTGATATTGTATCCAGTGTTGGGAAGTAGCGCGCTACAAGTAGCGACGCTACAGTAGCGCGCTACTTTTTTTGTAGCGTTAACTGTAGCTACGCTACTTTTAAGATTTGGTAGCTTTAGCTGTAGCTAGCTACATTTTTGAAGTAGTTGTAGCGGAATTTTAGCTACTTTTCTCGCTACATTAACATTGTTTGAGATAGTGATTTTTATCATAACCTCAACCTTACGTGAAACAACCTCTTTCAAACTGAGATTTAAAAAAAAATTAGGCCTTACTTTCTTGGCTTCATACAGCTGGTTGCAGCCGTTTCATTCCCTATTACAACGTTGTGTGGACATGGAGGCCATTAAATGAGTGTTATCCACATTTTTGGCTCTCATTTCCTGAATTTACTACTCTATGATTACTGTCAGATAAAATAAAATCGCTAGATGCAGACGACGTTAAAAATGTTACCGGTGACAAGAGAAGCTATTGAATGCTTGCAAGTGATTGACAGGGAAATTAGTAATCAATTTAGTTTGTTTATTATACCGATAGTGTTTCAACTTGGATTTTAATGGAAACCAACACTAAACCTTAAAATAATGAGAAAGCTGGTCTATCAACATTTGCTTCAGCTGTTGATTGTGGTTCATCATCACAAGCCCTTCCTTGGTTAGATTACGAAGATTTTTCAAAGGTTTACTAAATTAACAAAGAGGAAATTACCTGATGTGATTTAAGATATGTATAGACTAAATGATAATTGTAACGAAAACATCTCCATATAACATGAAACTTACATTGAAAAAATAACATAGTTTGCTCCTGGTAACAGCTCTTGTATAGGACTATTAATTCCTAGGCTACCGTATGCTATGGTTTAAGACGAATACAAAGTTCCAAGTTCAATTATTAGGAATCCTATCTGTTTAGTCCTTGCAAGAACAAGCCTACTATAGCCAACTTGTTACATAGCCAAGTATGCCTACATGAAAAGCCGATTTCAGGATAAGTTACTGGATACTGTTTTCTGTACCAACTAGGTTGAAGCACAATTTGCCCTATGCATAATATAATGACAATAAAGGACGATTTCTTGACATTGAAAAGTGTTATTCATAGTACAAGTTAACTTATCACTTAAAAGTTTATAGCAATGTCGTTTTTAACATTAAAAGAAAGGCAATAAACTCCAATTTCAGTAGGCTAGGCTCTGTAACACAAAAAAGTATTTTTAAATAATCGTTTTACAGTTTTATTGGTCTTAATTGTTGGTATAAGACATCTATAAATGAATTTTTTATTATTTATTATCAATCAATGAGATGGGGACGCCCCATAGGTGCGTATTTTAACCCAAATATGAGTGAAGGATGAGTGTAGAACGGTGTGTGATGACCTGTGTAGCTTTGTTACTGACTAAGATCAGCGGTTTCATTAGTCAGGATCATTTATTTAAAGCCCAATGATCAGGAACAGCTGGGTCCAGTTTCGAACCATCAAAAAGCTACTGACTTTTCTTAGGATCGAACCGACAACCTTTTGATTACTGGGCGAGCACTATAACCACTCAGCTACCCAGCCAATTCTATATTAAAGAAATAAAATGAGCTTTTAAAATATAGTTTGGTTGTATGTCCTTTGAACTTAATGAAATTTACATTTAAGATGCTTAAAAATAATGCAATATTTAAAAATAAGTACTAAATATGATGGGACACCGAACTATTTGGTTCTGTTGTTGTAATGTTAGGTTTATAATGCCAAAAAATTAAATACAATCTAGGAATAATTTGTTTTCGAATTAATGTTAGATACAATACTGACATTTTTTTAATGTTTGTTCGGTAAAAATGTAGTTGCAATTAATTTTACATTTACCTAATGTGCGTGGAATAAAAAGTAATGTCTTTGGAAAAGTAGCTAAAATTGTAGCTGTAGCTACATTTCAATGTAGCTGTAGTTGTAGCTAGCTACTTTTGCGGAACTGTAGCTGTAGCTGTAGCTAAGCTACTTTTTTGGAAATGTAGCAGTAGTTGTAGCTAGCTACATTTTAAAAGTAGCTTCCCCAACACTGATTGTATCAGTAACCTTGCGGTCTTATTTTAATGTAGGCATTTAGTGATGTAATTGTTAGTTAAGGTACAGTAGCTCACTGCTTTTCTTACAAGAGTTTGGGTTCGTTGGGGCTAGCCAAGGCCCCACTAGAAAAACAGGCCATGCTGCAGCGCGGGCAGCGTAACACTACGTCACAGTGGTGGATAGTTGTACTAAAATCTTACCGTTAAAAATCTGACAAACAGCCAGTTTGGGTACCTAAAACATATGGGAAATGGCAGTGTATCCATCAACGAATCTATACACTAGTGTAGTGTGACATCATGAATCCTGCAGCATGGCCTAGTTGGGGCCTTGGGCTAGCTCGTTTAACATTTGTACAACAAATAATTTGCTGACTGTTGGATTAATTGTTAATCCGCTTGCCCTACTAGGCTTAAGTTACACGTGCCTTTTGAATCGGTTCAAGTTATTGTGTTTATCAACCTTTTGTTCCTTAAATCCTCAGTAGGATATATAGTTCTTGGAATTGAGACTATTTGAATGATTTGAAGATAAACCGAATGGAGGCCAGTTTGTTGGCACATTGTAGATATCTATCAAATTCATTTTATGCATGTTGAAATTGTATATTTTCTTTTAATTTCAGGAAGAATGATTGCATAACCAAACAAAGATTAGGAGGAGAGCTTTTTTATCGAGTTTCCTGTTCAGAAACTTCATTATGTGCTCAAATTACTGGCATGCTCCTGGAGCTAGATGTCTTTACAATATGTGAGCTGCTACAAGATGCAAATAAATTGGAAAGTGCTGTGCTAAAAGCTAAAGAAGAGTTTTTGAAATACAAACAGGTAAGACTTAGGCCCAATTAATCTTGCTGATAAGTTAATGCAATTTGAAGATTGAAGGTTAATGTACAACATTTGCTGCTTAATTAAACATATTTAGAAGTATTTTAAAATCCTACTATAATTTACTCAAAAGGTCTAGATTATTGTTTATTGGTAAAACTTTTATTTTCAGAAATCAAGTAAGGATTTAATTGGTGAAGAACTGTACGAGATAGTGCTACAGCATTATCCCAACCCTGATCTGGCGGCTCGGTTGACGGGAATGTTGCTGGAGCTTGACTTGTCGGTTCTTCAAACATTACTTGACAACCGTTCAGAGTTAAGCACAAGACTGGCTGTTGCATTTGAGGCTACTAAGACTATCAAGGACAATAATTAGAGCATGTAAGTTCTTAATTAAAATGGTATTTTAAGTTTAATTCATTGGTCCCTAAAATCTATTCTAGTTCTATCTCATCATGACTGGGACCGTGGCGTTCTTGTAATCCAGCTACTTGTTCGTCACGAAAGGTGGATATTCATAGACATTGATCTGTGGATGCGATACTCTCTGTTGTGGATTAGCGCCCGTACTAGTGAGTGCTATGACTATCTGATAATTAGACAAATTTGTAAATTACAAGGGAAAAATATGGTTCGGATTCCACTATTAACTGTAGGTCTCTGCCATTGGAAGTAGTAACTTATGGGCTATTAATTAAGGTCTAAGGAACATGTTGGCCTTAGTCAGTAACAAGACTACAAGATCGCGTCAATCATCTCCATTCATACATACTAGGCTTAAAATCTACCTTCGTATGGTTCCCATTTCAATAAAAAATAAAAAAAAAGTATTTAGAAAATCCTATAGGCCTACTCTAAAACATGCGCGTGTACGGGCGAACTTTTTGTTCGAGGATTTTTTATTTTTTGTCGATTATGGGGTATTTGGCCACGTAAAATCGATTAGAGTTGGTCACAATGCTGGGAAAAATCCAGTTTCTGTCCTAAAGCCCTTGAAAGTGACCATGTTTTTGGCAAATATGTAGCGGCACCAAAAACAGCTGTTACTGGCTATTTTTATCATCACGATTTGATTTGACAAAATAACTGTATTGGTTAGTTTGGACTAAACATTTGAAAGAATAGTTGTATTTAATTTAGCCTAGTTTATTAGGTAGGTAAATACCAGTGTTAAATGATTTTAAGGTTAATTTTCAAGATTAAAAATGAAAAGGGGAAGACCTCAAAAACAAAATATTTACATAATCTTCAAGGGAGAGAAGCTACAATCGACTACGAGAAACAACTTAACCACTTCGTCTACAACCGAGCCAGATCCAACCAGCTCATACCTCTCGCCAATCTCGTCGGCTCACTGAAGTCTGAAATTTCTCAAACCTATAAAGTCGCCATGTTGATGGATGAGAGATATTATTGAATAAGCATTATGCACCCACATTGCAAGCAGACAATATTAGACAATTTTAAATACCGAGCTATCCTTGCTACACTTAATGCTGAAGGTGGAAAGATAAACAACAAAATTATCCAAATGCTACAGGACCATGAGAAGGTTTGCAAATGTTTCGATTAATCTGTGTTCGATTTCTGTTTGTATAATATAATTACTGTAACTAAAGTTTAGACTAAATTTCACTTCTTTCTACCTTTACCTCTGTTTAACTTTTGGTTTTAATCATATTTATATTTTTTGTCTTAGTTAAGTCTGTAAATGAAACACAAAAAGAACAATAAATGATACGTTGTACTTAGTTACAGAAAATATCATTGCTGAAATGTTTTTGTGTCAACAGAGAAGATGGCAAGTGAGGAACACCAGCAGTTAGCAGCTTATATCAAGAGTGTGCATTTGAATCTACGACTCAAGTGTAGGTCAGTAGGTGCAGACGAGGCTTGGCACCAACACTGTCAGAATACAACCATGCTAGAGGTAACATGACAGCTTGTAACTGAACTCCTGCAACACTGCATAACACATAAACCAGTGAGAATGTTTAATCTATATATTTACCAACCCCCTCAACTTATGAACATAAATACAAACATAATAGTGCGTTATATTTATTTTTTATTCATATCATTTTTAACACACATAGTAAAAAGTAGTAGGTAGTGTGTGATGTGTGATAAGATGTGCAACTCAAGAAAACGCCACCCTTCTTGAACCTACCTTACTAATGATTTTTTTTTTAAATTTAGTCTTAGTGTCTAAGTATAAGCATATAGTAGATGTTTAAGGATAGTTGTATATTGTGTGTTTGTAAGTCTCTAAAAATGTTTTTTCGATGTTTTTCAGAAATATGCAAACAACATGCGCCTACTAGCTACTGAATTTTGGGAAAAGAACAATTACAAAGATAAGGACCTGTGCAGAATACAATGGGTGGTTGATCAGTGTGTTGAATATTTCTACTCAACTGGCCAAGAAAAAGCATCTGTCAAAGAGGAAAAAATGTACAAGCAATATTTTGGCACCAATTTAGAGCCAAAGATAATGAAACCGGAACCAGTTTTAAAATTATTGGATGTTGGAAGTTGTTATAACCCATTTGCCAAGTTTCCTATGTTTAAAGTGACAGCTGTAGATTTAATGCCTGCTACTGAAGATGTAGTGAAATGTGATTTCTTATCAGTAGCAACATGTGATGAAGTAACAGCAGTGGAAAATCCGTCTTCAGTTTTACCAAAAGTATATTATGATATTGTTGTGTTCTCCTTGCTTTTAGAGTACTTTCCCAGTTCCAAACAGAGATTCAAGTGTTGTGAAAAAGCATTTGAGGTATTGAAGACAAGTGGACTGCTTTTCATTCTTACTCCAGACTCTAAACATGCCACTGCAAATTCCAAAGTTATGAAAAGTTGGAGACTTGCCTTGTCATCCCTTGGATTTTGGCGGGTCAACTATCAGAAATTAAAGCACCTTCATTGTATGGCTTATCGGAAATGTTCAAATTCTGAAGTTACTCGATGTTGGTTAAGTAAACAGAACTGTGGCGCTAAACCAGAGGATTTATTTTACATCCCTCAGGATTTTAATGAATATTTTGGTAATTCTGATCAAGAGACAAGCCATGAAAGATCCAAGGACGATAATGAAGTTTTAGCAAATAACTTTACTTCTTTGCCAGATTTTGATATTTTTACATAAGGTTCGCTACTATTTGTTTGGATAACAATGTCTTGTTTGTAAGGGAATACAGTGGAATAAAATACTTTTTTTATTTGATTTATATTTGTGTTCATATTTTTTTTACCAGATCCGTTCAGTATTGAAATACAGGAATGTTTATTTTGATGCCACTCCTTTATATATAAAAAAGTCCTTATTCTCTGTTACTTTTCCTGTAAAAGTGAAAACTTTCTATTATGATAGTTCTGATATGAATGAGTGACGTGAAGTATCTAGTGACTTAAACCATCTTCAGTCATATGACTACTTGTTAAATAAATATAACAATAATAGTGTATTACACTCGAGTACTTTTTCTGGGGATCAATATTTGTCACGTAGAAAGGTTTTTTTTAATTGTTATTTAACCGTCTCAAAGAATGATAAGGTGTGGAAGATCATCCCTGCCCAAGATGTCCTTAACTTAAAAAACTGCGATGATAGATTGTTAGTTTTTGTGTTTTTTATCAGTTCAATCAGTCAGTTTAAGTATCCATACAGTTGCTTGGACTGTACAGTAATTGACAAAGAATTAGTTTGATGAATATTACAGTAAAGTTTCAACATGACAAAACTGTTCTAAAATGGTGTTCATAATCCTCATACATAAACAAAAGTACTCATTGCTGGAAATTTGTTCTGGCACCTTAGAAAATATCAAGATGATCCTAAACTGTTGTCTTTATTTAAGTGTTAAGAGTTCTTTTAACTGTTACCAAGAATCAACAAATAAGTGACACGTTGCTTAATTTTTACGCCTACTATTTTTCTGACAAGTGGCAAATACAAAATTTGATACAAAGACTGTAGCCGATCTAAGCAGCCTAGTGTCATGTGGGCCGGAATGTGGAGAGAAGATATCAGTGACTTGGCAATATGGCGTTGTTTGGCCTTCAGGTTCACTTAGTTCCACTATTAATGAAATCAGTCTTGTTAATACATAGCCATATATTGTATAAGTATGCATGTAATGATCAGTTGCAGCTCTCTGAGTTGCCATTACTAGTCAACAACTCCGGCATTCGACTACGGACAAGAAGAGTACCGGTACTCAATTTGAAGCCCAACAATCATATAGTAGACTAAAATACTTGACTTGTCAATTCACTAGTTGATAGCACTCTAGTAGAAAATCATTTGCTCTTACTTCCCATTTTTTCATGACAACATAACTTTTTTGTGGATGACCTGAACTAAAAATGCAATTTAGTGCGATAAAACTGTAATAATGCTGTAATGCACTGATTATAAAATTATCATAGTAAGACACTGAGGGAAATATTTCAAAAACTATCAAAGTATAAAAAACCAAACAATTTATTAAACATATTATTTGATACAAAATGATTCAGTTTTTCCTTCGTCCCTGTCCTTTCATCTTGATTCTTTTACTTTTTCCTGGCCTGAAGTTTTTAGCGCTTTTCTTTCCTGGCTTCATCATCTTGGGTCCTTTTCTTCTAGAAGGCTTGTTGTAGTCATCCATACTAGCCGAACTCTCCTTGGTGTTGGCCTTTAATCCTCTCTTTTTTCCTCCAAAACCAAATTTAGAATCCTTGTACTGCCGTTTCATCTGTGACCTGAGTAATAAAGAACACTATTGAAATCAAACAAATAGAAACTCCTTTAATAAAGATTTTGTTTGATTGAAATAACTACCACAGGCTACAGATTTGTGAATTGTAAGTGTGCATGATATCTAAAGCTTACACTGTTTTTTGTGTCAACACAGTGCAAGTTGGACTAATAAGTTGTATTCTCAAAAGACTAAGAAGAAATAGTAAGTTATATTACGTTATTAGCCCGGTAAATGGTGTTTTAACATGCGAGCACGACAGTTCCGTTCAAGTCCAGTAAAGCTTGCCGGGCGAGTAACGTACAATACTTTCCATCATACTACACAGAAAAATTAAATCAGCACATTTATTTTAAACTTATAACACAATTTATTTAGGATAGGACATAACATAAATTATAATATTTTTATATTTCAGAAAATAAAATAGCTGTTTATTTCATCAGCTGACTAAGTGCAAAGTAAAAGTACGTTACGTTACTTTTCCGTGTGTATGCACAGCAAAGGGCAACTTTCCAGCCTATCAATACGGATGGAAAAGTGCCTGTTTCTGTGTAGCATGATGTAAAACTATTTACATTAATAGTGTGCACACATTATCGCCATCGGACTTACCATGACACATCATATATACTGTAAAACTTTGGGCTTAGGGTGAATTGATACCACTATCATACTGATAAGAAGAGGCAGTTGTAACCTAACACTAGCTAGCAAAATTATTGAATCCCCTTCTTATACGTTACTCTACTTTTGTCCTGAAAAATCTGAACATATCATGGAAATGTAAATAGTTAAACACTTTCCAAATATTAAGGGTCAATTTACACAAAGGAACTAAGTGACATTCAAATAAATGACAACACTTACTTTGTAGGCCCTTTTTTGGGATTTTGCTTCTGAGGTTTTTTGTTCTCCAAGAAGTCTAAGTCTTTACGTATTCCTTTCCTAAACTTTTTCACTTCATCCAGCATTTCTTTTTTCTCATTCTGCTTCTTCAACTTTCCTTCTTTTTGTAGCTGTTTACTTATCTTTCTCTGTTGGCGGATATTTCTGATCTTTTCTATCCTTTCAGTTTCAGCTTGTTTTTTTGTTAAAAGGGCTCGAACCTATAAATAATAAAACAAAGATATTATCATTACAGATAATTTAGGTCTAAATATACAACAGTTCTTGACAGTTTAAAATATATTAATTTTATGACTTACCTTTTGCATGTGAACATCGGTTTTGGCCATTTCAGCAAAGTAGTCTTCTGGCCTTTTGGTAACCACCCCGAGTGCTTTAAGCCTTGCTAGTCCCTCCAACACTGCGGCCTGGGCCTGTCTGTGAAATGTTGTCTCCCTCTTGAATTCATTAAGGGCTAGGTTCTTTCCACTGCTTAAACTTTGTGTTTCTTGTTCCTCAATCTACAAGTAAAGTTTAGGTGTTATAGAATTTTATATTTAGCAGCTGGTTCAATAATTGTGTTATTTTTTACTTTGCCAAAAGTGCAAGGATTAAACATGAAAGAAATTTATCAAGCAAACAAACTTACTCATGGAGAAACTGTTAAGGCCTGAAAGATTAATTAAACATAGATCCTGAATTCAGTTCAGCAGTTCAAGATTATCAACAATGGTTCAGCACATTTAAGAACTTCATTTCCATCACTCAAGATAATGACTAAGAAAAGCTTCAATTGCTCATCAATCATGTGACATCATCCATATTCAACTACATAAGCGAAGCAGAGGATTATAATGAAGCAGTAAATATTCTTCAGAACATTTTTGTCAAACCTATAAATGAAGTTTTTGAAAGACATCAACTTGCAACAAGGAGGCAAATTGAAGGGGAATCAGTCAGTCAATACTCAAAAATTTTAAAACTTTTAAGCAAACAGTGTAACTTTAAATCAGTTTCAGCTGAGAATAACAGAAATGACCGTATTCATTGCTGAACTTTTAGATTCAACTGTTCGGCAATGACTTTTAGAAAGCCCAACTCAAGCTAGATCATTGGAACTAGCCCAACATCAGGGCAGATTCTATAAAGATCTTCCAATTGTAAACTATGTAAAGGAAAATAAAAATTCCAGAAACTCTTTTCTGTATTACTTATAAATATACCATAACTATACCATATTCAATACATTAAAACATCAAAATAAATATTTTTATTCCCTGAAATTTGGATGGTTTGGATTTAGAGCATTGGAACAGTGATTGGTAAATATATTTCACCTGGACCCCAAAGAACGTACTGCTTATTCAGGATTGTATGTGAGTCCCGCATTTAACTACACACAACCCACATGAGGGACAAAAACAACAGAGTTAAGGTTTTTGGGTTCCAAAGAGTCAGACTACCTCCAGCAATGAATATAGAACCTTAAGAAGCGAAACCGCCATATTAAAATAGGCGACGCTACGAAGATTCCCACCAGCGGCAGTTCACAAAGATTTATGTAGGAAGTGCTAGCGTCGCGAGCCAAGTCTTCGTGAACTACGGCTAGCGGCAATCTTTGTAGCGCCGCCTCTTTTAATATGGCGGTTTCGCTTCTTATAAGGTTCTTTATTCATTGCCTCCAGTCAGTGCTGGACTCACCAAGTCTAAGGTGAGTGAGCCTGCAACAACGCTAACTTAACTGATGAATTATACCTCACTTACAATCATATAGTATAGAATCATAGTAATGGTTTATAAATAACATTTTAGTTGCTATTTTAATTAAGTAAAGTTGAATACAACACAATATACCTGGACTGCTATTTCTGGTGCTAAAGGGGCTGGTTTACAAACTAAATCTAGTCGTTCGAACCAGTTGAGATCCTTCTTAATTTCTTGTAACTTCTGTCTAAGACCTGCCTGAAAATGAAAAATTTGACCATCAAAATAAATCACAAAATGTAAAACCATTGCCATACTACTGCATTAAACTCAGATCCAATCTTTTAACCCTCCGAGTGTCCATAGTTTAGGCCTTAATGTCCGCCTATTTTTGGCGCATTTGCAAGGTTTTATTAAAACGGATCTGAGAAGCTTAAAACAATGTTAATCCTACTGTTCTATATACCATTTTGTTTAGAAAATCATGGGCTTCAATATCTATACTATTATAAAAAAGAGGTGGTTGCTTTATGTGTGTATGGGAAAAGTAAACTCGAAAAATACTGGTCGGATTGGGCTGAAATTTGGCATGATGATAGCTCACATTCCCGATTAACATATAGGCATATTCTTATTTCAAAAATCCTTTCGGGCTCCGCCCCAGTGGCTCTGGAGTTTCCCATGTTAACCTTATGAGAAATGGAATAATTATTGAATCTTAACAGCTGTTTCAATTAAACAAGTTGGTTCTGTTCTATGATGTTCAATAGCATTAAAGTTACAAGGATTACCAACAGGGTGCAGCACTATTATTTCTTTTACATTTATGACAACAGCTAATTTGCAACCAAAAGGTGAGTGAGCGTAGCGAACGAACTTCAACGTGGAGGCGAGTCAGCGTAGCGAACGAGCTAACCTGAAGGCAAGTGAGCGCAGCGAACGAGCTCCAACCTAAAGGTGAGTGAGCGTAGCGAACGAGCTCCAACCTAAAGGTGAGTGAGCGTAGCGAACGAGCTCCAACCTAAAGGTGAGTGAGCGTAGCGAACGAGCTCCAACCTAAAGGTGAGTGAGCGTAGCGAACAAACTTCAACCAGGACGTGATTGAGCCATGCGAACGAGATAATCTTGAAAATTAAGAAGTTAAACGGGGCAAAGCCCGCGGGTTACAGCTAGTTATACATAAAACATAAGACACATCTGTTTCAAAAAAATTTTTTAGGTAAAAAAAAATATTTTGGAAAATTTCAAAAAAAAAATAACTTCGCGCTCAATGAAATTGTATAAATTATAGGCCTATAAATATTTGAAAATAGCCACTTTGTTCTAAATTTTATGAGGATTACAAATATATAATAATATAAGGAAGTAGATTTGCAAATAAATAAGTTATTGGCAAAAAACAGATTTCAGTACATAGCGTTTAGCTAAGAATGCATAGCCTAACCATAGCTAGGAATCTGGCTGATAATTTACATCAATATCACTACCTACTTCTTCAGGATCATCAACCAGCCCTTCAAAATCACTTAAATCTTCTTATAATGCACCACGTATATCACTACTTTTGATTTTTAACACTAAAACAATGATAAACGTAATAAAACACATCAGTCATCGGTCCGAGGGTAACCTAGCTATTTACAAATACGCACGTCAGCTGTCTGCTACAATTACGATCGGCTCGGAGAACATACAGCGCTGAGACAGACCTCTGGAGAAAGCTTAGAATATAACGAGAAGAACAATACCTAACTCGATCCAGTTCAATCCGATTCAGTCAGTCATAGAGCCTTCGCCGAAAACGATGTTCGCGCGTCGAGAAATCGACGCGTGACACTACACAAAGTGTGTCGCGCGTCGATTTTTCGACGAGTGACACTCGGAGGATTAACGATGACAATAAAATTAATGTGTAACTATATCATTTTTAGCAAAGTACAAGTACACCTTTTTTTAATTATTCCACAATATAAAGTCTTTGAGGTTTACTAGTGAAGAACCAACAAATCAAACCCATCTTTTAATATTGCGCAAAGGAAAACATTATGACACTCGACTAAAAGTGTTGCCTATTTGCTTGAAAGTGAGATCTTACTTCAAATGAAACAATAGGCCTATTACTTAATTTTATAAATTTTTTAAGTAAATATAATTTGTTTTTTCGCTACACTACTTTGAAATGGTCTTTTTTCGTTGCATATTTATCACCTGCAAAAATATATCATTACATTGTTTACTGGCAAAAGAATGTTTACGATGCGAAAGTAATGTTTACTTTTTTTTTGATTTTGCTAACATTAACAAAGAAATATTTGTTATTGTTTTGTCAACTGTTTCCATTTTCAACAACTTAAATAAATATTAACTTTAAATTGAAGACATAACCTAAAAAATGCTATGAGTTTAGTAATGAATAAAATAATTATTATTTGTAGTGTAGCGAAAAGTAACGTTTAAAACACGAGTGAAAGTGGGTCTATACATATTCTCGACAATACAAAGTGCTAGATAAATATCACACTTCAAACATGGTCTCAAATGTGTAATGACTCACTTTCTACTCTTGTTAACTATTACAGCCTAGGAAAAAGGAGAGTTAGACAATAAAAAAACATCCCCTTACTTATTAATTTCCTATCATTTCTAATATTTTTTTTTTAATTAAAGAACAGTGTATTTTGCTACAAACTTGTTCTTCAGGGTTTCAACGCATCACATACATAAACTTACGGCAGGGTCAAACTCTGAAGACCAGTGTTTGTGATAGGGACCACGGATGCATTAGTTCCAAAAATGTATTTTGATTAGTTCTATCTTTTTTTTAGAGGTTATTTGCCTGTGGGAAACAAGCTTTAACTTAAATCTACTTCCGTAACTTCAAAAATCTACATTTATATAACTAGTGTTTATTTTATCCTGACCACCATTAGTGTTTCATTAAGCATGATGCAAAGAAAATTTAAACCACTGGGATCTTAATCTAAATTTTGGTCACCATTAAAAAGACTATAGGCCTATCTGTTTTTGCACATTAGACCTTCTTTTTTCTGTGCGATGTCCATCTTTACGTTAATTTAATGCAACTTATAACTCTTTTAAAGTTTAATTTAGACTCTTTACCATATTCCTAGACATTTTTATTTTTAAAAAAATTTTATGTAGCGTATTTTTAGCTTAACTATTTTTTTTAAGAATACTGTAGTTTTAAGGTAAATAGCTACTTTTAAAACATAGTTTACTCAAGATTATTAATGACTTATGATAAAGATTACAACTTTGTTTCTACATCAACATCTCACTAAAATGTTAGTGTCTATTGATAATGTTATTTATATTATCTATGTGTGTGTGTGTTGCTGATAATTCAAAATATAGCTTTGATGTTACAAAATCCCACATACAGATAGGTCTAATTAGTTCTATTTAGAGATAATATTACTGTATTGAGATAAATTATTTTAACTGTCTCATCATGATGATTTAGATAAATAGAGGCAAAACTAATATCTTTCTAAGTCTGTTTTACAAATTATAGGCCTACAAGTTCGTAAAAGTCTGTTTTACAAATTATAGGCCTACAAGTTCGTAAAATAAGATTTCTTTTAAGAAATAACAAATTTACAAATTATATTAAATCTAAACAAATTAGTAATCTAAATCTAATTCTCATGTTTTAGTGACCAAATTTATTTAGAAATATGTTTAATAAAACAGTTTTCCACAGTCAAACAAATATTTTATTCACTACAGGCTACCACGTGATACAGTTGTTATCAGACTAAAAGAAGTTAAGATGTTCCCCTTTTTAAATCGGACACTATAGTCACTGTCAGGATCCTCAGAAGATACGTCGAGGAAAGCGCCCTTTGCCAATCTAAAGACAAATATGCAAAATAAAAAGATCAAAAACGGAAAAATTATAAATATAAATAAATTCTGATTGATTTACTACAACAACAAAGTCAACCCATCAGGGTAAAGCAAGTGTACAATGAAAGAGATGTCCAAACAGCTAGAGTTTTACTGAGATCATATCTGGTCTTTTAACCAGAATCAGTAAAACCTCAAATATTACTGAAGAATAATTGGTTTGGACCAGTTTCAAATCACCAATATAAGCAAAATATGTTTCAAACAGTTACACAATGAAACCTGTACCTTCAGATTACGATGTTAGCCCTGGGATTAGTTTAACTGATTACACTTGATATTTTTAGTTAAGTCACTGCAGGGATGCTATAACTCAAAACTCATTATTAAAAAAAAAAAAAAAAAAAATCATTGTAGATGAAAACTTACTTTTTGGTCTTTTTGCTCTACTCTTTTAAAAATAGTTATATGGCGTTATCATCAGACGACAGATTTAACATGCAACAGGACAGTATCAGCTAAAATATCGAATCGAAGATGTTAAAGGTCGAAATAAATAATTTTGTTAGTCTCTGCACAGTCTGAGAAAAGGTACCTCTTGTCGCTCAATGTTATTTCGCCATAACAAATTACCAACAACCATCCCAGCCAGTGATGAGTAAAAAGAAAACGCAATGTATGGGAAATGTTGAGTTTATCAATGTTATTTATGTACAGTATATGAAGAATAGTTAAGGCCGCCCCCTTAGTACTACGACATTACAATGAAATTACTCATGTAATTTTTCTGGCCAGATTTGTAAATAGGTATTACTTTAGCAACTTTGAATTTGTCTGGAAATACTCCAGTAGGTTTAAAAATGTTTTTAGTGGCCATAATATTTCTTGTAAATTATTTTTAAGTAATTTAGCTGGAAATTTGTTGTACCCAGGAGCCGAGCCGCTACGCATTTCCCTAACACATGCGATCACTTGGTTGTTGGTGACGGGCTCCAGTCGTAAATCATGTTCCACCCTGTATAGTATGTCGTAGACTATCAGAGGCCCGACAGATGGTGGCAACTCGCTTGCTAACTTGTTACCAACATTTGAAAAATACACATTGAACGAGTCTGTAACCACCCTGACATTGCCTCCACCGGCCTCTGACGGACACCTTCAAATCAAAGCTTTCTTACCACATCATTGATGAAAACTTTTTTCTTTTCCATCAATCGGACATTCAATCCAGGTTTGAGCAGCCCTTTAGCAAATGCATGTTGAAGCTGGAAGAAAATACAAATTTATTTATATATTTGATGGGGGACTTCAGGCATCTAGACAATAGCAGGCAAGACAAATATTTTTAAGAAAGGTAAAAAGTTATTATTACAATGAAGGAAATTGTCTATATAACACAATACAGAGAGCTACAGCTTCATATAATGCCATCATTTGTTGGTAACTAGGGTATTTTTAAATCAACATTCATGTAATAGCTATTTACGTTACAAGAGTAGTAAGAGCGTTTTTACATCACTTAGGTGAATGTTATAATTCACCTAAGTGATGTAAACACACACTTGCGTAACGTGTAACGTACAAGATTTTAATAAAGTGGTTTAAATACCTGCATAAACGTTATCCACAATGTTGCTCACGGCAACCGGTTTCAATCCACAATAGGGATCATCATCAGGCCGATCAGGATGTCAAAACATTTTCTCTCTTCTTGCGAAGGTCGTCAAAAGGCGTAAAAAACATGCACATATAGTCACAAACACAAAACACGGACATTTAACATTGAAGACACGGCCGAAATTATTGCTACGACTCATCCCCGGCGAAGGTATAGTCTAGACTGCCGGTGGTCAGTGGAATCCAGTCGTACAATCCTTATCAGCTGTTTCATTGAGGTCTACCCACCCCCTCCATCCACACCCTTCAATACCTTGATTGCAGTGTCATAAATACAATTAGACGAAAATGACAGCTTGTCGTTCAGGACGTTCTGATGATCCGATTTTACAGCTTTATATATTTCAAATTCTTCTAATGTGCTTGTCTGAGATCTGTCTTTTGAGGAGTGTAAAATATGCATATTTCTGTGTATATCTGAATAATTATGGTTATTTGAAACGAGGTGGTCAGCAAAAGCAGATGTCTGGGTTATGGTTTTCTTGGGCAAATGTTCCTTGAATCTCTTTTTAAAGGAGCGAGAAGTCTGACCGATATAGTACTTTTCACAATCGGTGCATGAAAGACGGTAAACTCCAGTTTTCTCATATTCTGGAGTTAAAGTTTGGGGTCGCTCTTTCAATAAAGTTCCAAGATTGTTAGTAGTCCTGAACGAAACTGTGATATTATCTTTGGCTAAAAGGTTCTTAAATTTATTGCTTAGAAAATAACCATATTTAGCTGATAAGAATGTTTTGGGAGCTTTTGTTTCGTTTCCATTCGAGTTTTTATTTCTATGTTTATAAATCAGATTATCAATAATTGAGCTTCTGTACCCATTAGCGATGGCTATATATTTTAATATGTTAACTTCATCTTCATCTTTGCTAAATATGGTTATTTTCTAAGCAATAAATTTAAGAACCTTTTAGCCAAAGATAATATCACAGTTTCGTTCAGGACTACTAACAATCTTGGAACTTTATTGAAAGAGCGACCCCAAACTTCAACTCCAGAATATGAGAAAACTGGAGTTTACCGTCTTTCATGCACCGATTGTGAAAAGTACTATATCGGTCAGACTTCTCGCTCCTTTAAAAAGAGATTCAAGGAACATTTGCCCAAGAAAACCATAACCCAGACATCTGCTTTTGCTGACCACCTCGTTTCAAATAACCATAATTATTCAGATATACACAGAAATATGCATATTTTACACTCCTCAAAAGACAGATCTCAGACAAGCACATTAGAAGAATTTGAAATATATAAGTAAAGCTGTAAAATCGGATCATCAGAACGTCCTGAACGACAAGCTGTCATTTTCGTCTAATTATATTTATGACACTGCAATCAAGGTATTGAAGGGTGTGGATGGAGGGGGTGGGTAGACCTCAATGAAACAGCTGATAAGGATTGTACGACTGGATTCCACTGACCACCGGCAGTCTAGACTATACCTTCGCCGGGGATGAGTCGTAGCAATAATTTCTGCCGTGTCTTCAATGTTAAATGTCCGTGTTTTGTGTTTGTGACTATATGTGCATGTTTTTTACGCCTTTTGACGACCTTCGCAAGAAGAGAGAAAATGTTTTGACATCCTGATCGGCCTGATGTTGATCCCTATTGTGGATTGAAACCGGTTGCCGTGAGCAACATTGTGGACAACTTTTATGCAGGTATTTAAACCACTTTATTGAAATATTGGTTATCCGGAGGCTAAATCACAATGAAACAAGATTTTACCTGACCTGACAATAGGGGGTTACGTACAATATTTTTCATTATCCAATTTACTCATCTTCTAACAGTAACGTTCTTTTACAAACAAAAGCTAGGTTAGGAAAATACTTTAAAGCATAACAATAACATTTAAACGCACAGCTTATTTCTAGCGTTGAACGTCGTTGGCTCCCTAGAGGCACATTTTATTAAGTTGATCACTCAATGTTATTTGAATGGGTTTCAATACTTCACCGAGTGAAGTGGTTTACATCATGCTTGGATATCGAAGTTTAACACGGAGGGTTGGGTAAAAGAATAAATAAGCTCTTTTTAATCTTGTAAACTAATTTATGAACGAGTTTGATACACTGGTACTTATGAATTTTGTTACGATGATACACAGCACTACCGGTACCTACCTAACTGGTGTTTCTAAATTAGGCTACTGGAAATTTGAAAAACAAATTACAATTAGGCTACATTAAGTAATATTATTATAAAAGAAATGTTCTATAAACAAGTAACAGATAGGTTGAATTAGGGCCTTCATTTTTTTTTTTTTTCTGGAACATTTCTCAGAAGTGTGCAGTGTCGGAAATATTATTTGTTAGTAAATTAAGACTTATTCTTTTAGCGAATTTCCCATATAGGGAATAAGTTATTACTGTAGTATTCATGGTAAGACCTGGACCCAGGACTGATTTAATTTTTAATTTTGAGGTCCCTAGAGGCCAAAAAACACCATCCGTTCAAATTTAGGCTATATAAGTTATATATATATGCGTCCATTAGCGCGATAACTCTAGCAAAAATTATCCGATTTTGATGAAATTTGGTACAAACAAAAAAATGGGGTAAAAATGGGGTTTTTCCCATATTTGACCCTAAAAACTAAAGATTTTGGAATTTTTTTAAACCTTATTGTAGAGCTTAAAAAAAGAAATAATTTAGTATATTGAAGTGCTGTTGTATGCCTAACGGTCACAGAAAAAAATGCAAAAATAGTGTAATTTAAAATTCCCATGTTATTCTTCAAACGGAGGAAATGAAAACTGTTGTAGTTTACTTGTGTATGGATATATATTGATAAAATTTGGTAAATTTATTTACTTCATCTATACTATTGACGAAAGGTCAAAAAACACTTTTTGGTTAACCCTTTGTGGCCGGTTTAATTTTAATAGCAAAACTTACTCAGATCATAATTAAATTTGGGCAGATTAGCAAACTAAGATAAAACAACATTATTTTTAATATTTTAAACTTTTAATCTGTTAACTAGCTATGTTGTTTTTTTTTTGTTATTTATATGTATAGTATTACAAATTAAAAATGTATATTTTAGGCATATATGTTTTATGTGTATATATATAAAATATATCAATATATAAAAATAAAATATAAAAAGCTAAAAAATTCATAAAAACTTACAATAAAAAGTTTTTAAATTGAAAAATATATTTTTTTTATTGTTTGACATGTATACATATAAGAAAAAGTCAACCACACCATAATAAAATTGGTTTTACTTAAATTTTATTTATATTTTTGAGAGTGTGGTACTACCACGACATATAGGCCTACCGCGACATATATAGGCCTACCACTTCCCCTACTGCTACATGGCCTAATTTCTTCAAATCCCAGCACATCACCGAATACTAAATCTAAATGTTCACTTGAATCATGTTGTTGTATATCTTTACTAGGCGAAATTGTTTTTTCAGGTGAGTGATTTTCTATCTCCAAACCTAGGCCTACAGCTACAACTACATGGATTGTAGTTACCTGACTGCTACTGGTTACCTGGTAAGCTACTGGTTACCTGACTGTTTTGTGCATCTGCACCAATGTCAAATGTAGATGAAAAAGGCTCATTAGCTTAAAAAAATACTTTTATTTGCAGTTTGTTGTATATTTAAATCATGATTATTGAAATCAATATTATCATCGAAATCATAAACAAAATTAGAGTCTACAGCAACACCAATTGTGTTACCAGCACCTTGTTCGATTTTAACACCATCAATCACTTCTTCATTTTCATCACTTTCACTTGCGTTACTATCATTTTCAATTATAGTTTCATAATTTCCAACACTATAACCACTAACTACACTCAAATTATCATCTTCTAATAGATTTTCAATATCATCATCGCCTAGACACTCGCCCGCACGATCCATGTTTGTTTACAACTGTCAGCTGTCCAGAGAGCAACAATAAGTCATGGACATCGTTCGCTAAATTCCTACTCCAAAGGCTTCTAAATAATACTAAATATAGAAAAAGGCTATAGCCTATGTAATAAAATGAAAACCCTAAAAACGCCACAGAACAGTATCTTTAAGTAAATAACAGTATTTACAATTAAAAAAACAACTTATTTAAGTGCTGCTGGGTATTTCCCGGGTTACGACCGTTCGGGGCAGAGTATAAACCCGGGTCATACCCGGCATACGACCGCAAAGGGTTAAATGTTCTCTAACACTTAAAATTAGGTCCTGTTAATGAACTAATTGTTCTTTCAGTGCTGCCTTATTTTATTGAATAAAAAATAATCTAAAATATATAGCCTATATACTTACTTAGGCCTACATAAGTTATTTTAACGGATGGTGATTTTGATTTTTATGGGGACCTCAAAACGAAAAAGTAAATCAGTCCCGGGTCCATGTCTTCCCATGAGACCTACGGTAGTACCGTAGCTTATTCCCTATAGGCAATGAGAAATTCACTAAAAAAACATCGGTATTAAAGCTCATTCCTAATTCTAAGTTTAACAACACTCTAATACTTAGGTAGGTTAAAGCTTCTGCTAGGCCCAGATGGCCCTACTGGTAGGTACCATAACATTAACACAGAGGATGGGCCTACGCGTCCGGTAACTGGACGTGGAGGATTAAGTTAGGCATCCGGCAGTGACGTCACTGGGTTGTGGGGGACCGGAACGCCATTACCCCAACGATACGATGTAGGCCTATAGCCATCGGTGTTCGTGGTGTAGTGGATAGAGTGCTCGACTGATATACAAGAGGTCCCTGTTTCGAATCCCATCGGTAACTTAAACTTTTTGTCAAAGCTTTTGCTTTGAATGCCATTTCTTCTTAACTGTGCATCTTTTGTTCGAATTTTTTGCATTCATAATTTTATTTAATTAACAGAATTCAACCTTCATTCGATTTTTTCATTAACAGCAAGTTTGGTTGGTTAGGTTCGGTTATGACAGTAGGCTAGCCTACAGTAACTGCCGCACGCCTAATACCTATACTCTGCATAACATTAAACCAGTATTTACCTAAAAACATCCCAAGTTTTAGCTTTAATAATCACACAATAGTTCACATGAGAGTTAAGGCTTACCTCTGAGTCAGAGTCAGAAAACTCTGAGGAACAATCAGATGCTGTTGGAACAGGGGATTCCTGATTTAACTCATTATGCATATCTCGCATTACTGACAATTCTCCATAGTCAGTTCCCTCAGAGTCATAATCATCAGATGAAGGTAAAGACATTATTGTTATAAATAAGGATACTCCCAAACGGAGAAAATACTTTCTTTCTAAATAATGTTCTGAAAGAATGCTAAAAAAGAATGTAAATTAACCTAACCTTAAAACAGCAAACAAACACAAGCCAGAACACTCACGAGAGTCACGAGTCACGCTGGCTGACGACGAGTGAAGTGAAGTGAAGTGAGTGGCGATTTGGCGACTGGCGGCGAGTGGAAGTGATTTAGTGATTGATTGATTGAATGACGAATGAAATGACTCGGAGTGAAGTGAGTGAGAGGAGGAGGAGAGTGACTGACCAGCAGGGTTGCCAAAGTTGCCACTTGCCAGTCAAGCCATTAGGTCTACCGGGTCTACCAACCGTTCTTTTAACCTGATCAAAACATTTACGGACTGACGGGAAAATTCCGGTGTTGGTCTAAACCGGTTAAACGGCAAACTTATATATCTATAATCCTGATTAAATGGTTGAATAAATGAAATGACTTTTTACTACTTTTACTTTTTTGTACTTTTTACTGTTGTGTATGATTCTAATAATTATTTTTTGTAATTTTCCCGACAATTTTTGCTCGTATAAAATCCCTTAGAAAAACCAAAATCCCGCCCAAAAATCATACCCCCCCCCCAAAAAAAAATATTGATGGATGGCACAAAATGCGCCATGTCCCCTCCCTTCTGCTCACCCCTGCTCTAACCCATTCTATAAACCACTATTTTATGCATGGATAATTTCCCAATGCACTCAAACTTGCAGCTGTAAGGCCAATTCTCAAAAGGGGTGACCATACGAAATGTGATAATTATAAGTCCATTTCTATGCTTCCGAGTTTGTCCAAGATTATGAAAAGGCTGTTTTATAGAGCGAGAGACTCTGGGCATTCTCCCAAAAGAATAATATAATATTCAATGATCAACAAGTTCAATATTTTCCTTACTGAACCAAGTGGTGCAAAATTTGTATACAAAGTAACGCTTTATGGGTATTTTCTTCTATTTGAGTAAGGCTTTTGACATGATTGACTATGACCAGGTGACCTACTAGCTAAATTAAACAAAAAGGGAGTCCGAGGAGTAGCCTCTGAGTGCTTTTCGTCATTTTTAAAAGGCAGGAAGTGGAGGCAATGGTTGAAATTCAATCCATTTTTTGTCCTAAGACGCTAGGCACGAGAGCCTGGGATTGTTTTTCGCATTACTTCAGGCTAGACCTAGGGGTTGCGGCATTATCACTTAGATAAAAATCCATTGGTGACTTGGCGGGGATCAAACCCGGGACCTCAAGGGACTGAAGTCCCGCGCTCTAACAACTACGCCAGCTCGCTCCCCGAAATTCAATCCATAGATCATACCGGGCTTCAAAGTAGATTTAAGTCTCCAGAAACCCCTGTAACGAGAGGTGTGCTCCAAGGATCCGTTCTTGGTCATGTGCTATATTCCACCTCTTCATAAATGACCTCCCCTCATGCATAACACAAGGTAAACTGTGCCTCTTTTGCTGATTATACTTCCCTTACATTATCCAGCCCTTCCCTAGAGTCACTCGAGCAAATTGCATTCATAGAGGCGTACCTTGCTTCAGTGGTTTGATGATAACCTTCTGAAATATAACACTGCAATGCAAAGACCCAGCTAATCAACTTTCGAGTCTCAAACCGGTCCAACAAAGGTCCGAATCTGCCTCTTCTTCTTGATCTAACCTTCATTCATCCTGTACAGTATCTGTTAAATTCTTAGGCTTCCACTTAGACGAATATTTAAACTTCAAATCTCATTTTGATTATACGTGATAAAACGAGTAAGCTCAGGCATTTTTGTACTACGAACATTTGGCTACATCAGTCTCGTCGGAAGTTCTTCTTTTTGTTTACTACGGCTTAATATTCCCATATCTAGTTTATGCTCTGTCTGTTTGGTTGTATGATAACGCGCACCTCCTTTCTTTTAAAAATTTACCCCCGCCGTAGCAAACCTGAAGACTAAGCGAATTTCAACTTGTCTGACTACATTTTTAATAAAATATTTCCATAAATAAGACATATTTATTCTCAATTTAAATACAATTATAGATTTAACGATTGCTTAGGCTTTCTGCTACGGGGAAGGTAAAAAGTGTTTTTTTGACCATACATCAATAGTAGGTATTGGATGAAATAAATACATATGCCAAACTTTATCAACATACATCCATAAACAAGTAAACTACAACAGTTTTCATTTTCTTTATAAGAATAACATGGGCATTTTAAATTACAATTTTGTTTGAATTTTCTTCGTAACCGTTAGGCATACAGCAGCGCTTATGTTTCAAGCTCTACAAAATGATTTAGAAAGAAAATGGAACATTTTTGTTTTTAGGGTCAAAAATGGTTAAAACCCATTTTTACCCCATAGATCCCCCCATAAACCCCCGTTCCCATGGTCAGATAGTGTTGGTTCGCGAACTCGTTCGAATAAATGTAGGTTTACACGTTTGTACAGAATTTCATCAAAATTGGATAATTTTTGCTCGAGTTATCGTGCTAACGGGCATATGGATTTGAACGGATGGTGGTTTTGGCCTCTGGGGACTTCAAAACGAAAAAAAAATAAATCAGTGCCGGGCGCTGAATTTTTATTTCAGGATTAGTTTTGACATCAGTGTCATTTGGAGGCTTCTGATTGGCTGAGGGAACACCATTACCGCAACGATACGGTGTAACGACATCGGCCTTTTAAAGCTTTTATAAGCTTTTAAAGCTTATAATTTTATTTTAAGAACAGAACTAATTTTTAGATTAGTAAATCTTCATTATAGTCAATCCGAAGCCTCCAAATGACACTGTTGGCAAAACTATTCCTGAAATGAAAATTGTGCGTCCCGGGGTCCAGGTCTTACCATGAGACCTACGATAATAGCGTAATCCCTATATGGGGAATTCGCTAAAAGGCTATTTTTGTTATATTTTCACTTTTCAGATGATGAAGCGTGAATTTTATCTTAATTCATTGCTGCAATTATTTACTAAGTTCCATTTTGGATTAATTGTAACTTGTAACTAAACCTGAATTTCAACTCCACCACGTGTTTGCTGATCACGATTTTACTGGTCGAATTCCGGCGTGTTGTCGCGTGTTGCCGGCTCACGTGTTCCTACGTGTATGATAAAGGAAAATGCAATTTTTGTTAAATTTTGAACTGGCTGCGATATAAATGCGGTTTTATGTTGCTCTGCTACCATTATTGAAGCGTGTTACTATAGTTTTATAGCAACGGTACTGGACTCATAAGGATCGTTATGGCTCAATATAATCAATCTAGTGTTTCTAGCGACATTCTGAGTTGAATAATAAGATCTAAAATTAATTACTGAGCCAAACCACATCCATATCACAGCCATTTTGATGATCTAATAATTTCTAATGCTTCTAATTAAATATAATAAGGAAAAGAACACTGAAAACTTCCACTCGTACCTTAAGGGTACGAGTGTGCTCAAGGTATAATTTACATATTAAGCTGAAATAAAATTATAGTTCCCTAACCCCTTAATCCCCCCCCCTTTACTGAAAAGTTAAAACATATTCATAAACATCTTATACTAAGGAAAACTTATCAATTCGGCGATTCCAGCCTTGACCATCGAAGTTCGTCCGCTCGCCCTGATATCCGCCGCACGACTCCGACGCCCTCCCCGCGCTTCATAACCCCCCCCCCTTATTTCTCCAGCGATCAGTTGATTTACCGTGACGCGTCTTCGCTGTGACGCGAGCGTCACAATGAAGATCTTGTAAGGAATCATTCACTATTTAACATCAACATTAACTCCACTCACGGCCACCTGCCACGGTCTTCGAAGTGGCAACGTCGCAAGTAGGGTTGTAAGCTGTTTTGTTTGGAAGCAGCTAATGGTATTTGTACGAAAGCTTGGTTAGTGGACTATGAAAATATTGTCTACGCTTTAAATGTATAGATATAGCATAGATAAAACATACTCGCTTTGTGTTGGTTAGTCTATGGATATAGGTTTTCAGTTCATAATGTTTTAATTTTTAGTTATGTATGTTTTATTTTCAATATTTTAATAAATTTAAGTTCATAAATTTAAATTTGAATCAATAAAGTGCGAATTAATGAGCTGAGATCTTCTTTCTGCCATGTTATCTTATGGGACGTTTGACACTAAACAACCCTACTTGTGGTTGTGACGTTGCCAAATCTACCAGGCTCTGTAGTTAAAGGTGGCCGTGCTCCAGTACATATACCTTACGCACATCATACAGCCATAGATAAAACATAAAGGAACTATGTTTTATCTATTATACAACTTAAAAATTCCCGTCCATTCAACTTAATTTTTCCAACATCCCTTCTGTATAATAGAATTAAACTTTTTAACCAACTTCCTCAACATCTAAGCTGGAGACTGATCTGTTCCACCATCGATCTGCTCACGTTTAGGAGAAAACTTTAAAACATTTTGGTTGAAAATGACAAACCGCGAATGAATAGTCTGCGATTTTTCCGCTCACATGTACAGTGATTTCTGGATTAAATCGATGTGATGTAAGAGTTTGTAAACAGATTATAGGTTTAAAAAATAGAAAATTGATGAAATCAAAAGTAGATTTTTTTATTTAGCATTAGCACCTGCCGTGTTCTTGCATTGCCATAAATTTGTTACCTAGTTGGCAATGACGTCAACGCAGTCTACGAGCAGTCTGCATCTGTCCTACCAAACAATTTATTGTTTTGCCGTGCGCCTTTGTGCTCTTGCTTTTTTTTGCTGAAATAGTTGCTTTTGCTTTCCAGTTGCTGTTGCTGTTGCTGTGATTAGCTTTGCTTCTTGCTTGCTTTGGTGTTGGAGTTGGAAGTTATTTCGTTAATGTAAGGTAAGCTTATTGAGTATAAATATTACAAATTTTGTAGTTCATTGTTCTTAAATTTACACATATTTAAGGAGTTATTAGAATGTTCTTATTTGTATTAAAGTCTTAAGTTACTTGACACGTTGACCTCTCAGTAGGCACTAGGCAGTCAGGATTCAATGAGCAAACTTGAAGCATTTTTGTGTTGAGATTTTGTATTGAACACTAAGGCCTTAAAATAAGCTTTTAAAAATCTTTGAAGCTCACTAATAAATATTTTAATCAATTTGAGTCTTTATATAGTTACCAAAAAACAGTTTTTAATATCAATTTGACATTTTTCGTGTCTGTTCATGCAAACCTTGTTGTGTCTGAACTAAATAGGCCTAGGAACCCAGGCACGACATTCCTAGCCATTTTTTTAATTTATTGCACCACCTCTCTGGTTATTGTCTTACATTTCCTCTGTGAACTGTTCTCTGTTAAAAACTTCCAAAATAAGTTAGAATGGACAGCTAACGAAATTGAAATGAAGGATTAAGTTAACTTAGGCCTAAGTTAGGCTAACTTGAATGCACTTCAGAGTCAACACAATTTCTGTGAACAAATACATTAGGGCCTAGGCTGGCAATTTATTGTGATTATGGTGACTAAGGGCTCCACTTAAGTTTACGTCCTTCACTCATTCAAATTAATATATCGATTATATCCTTTCATATATCAAGTTTGGTTGGTTAATAGGTTAACCTAACCTAGGTTAACCTAACTAACCGAATGAAATAATCGATATATCGAATAATCTATATAAGTTAACTTATTGATTTTGTCATTTGAATGAGTGTAGGGTGCAGCCTAACCCAACCAAACTTCTCAAACAGCTTAAAATTTGTTGTTATATAAGACATGTGAGGTAGAGGTATGTTAGGTGTTATGTGGATTCGTGACTGTATTAAGTCTTTTGAAGGTAGGTTTTATTAGGGAAGTTAAAGTTTAGGTTATAATGAATCGAGTTGTTGATTTATGTTATCTCCTGACTGTTTTTGCACTGTTTTACCTTCCTAATCTAACCTAACTTCAAAACCCTTAAAACAGTCACAAATCCGTATAACACCCAACCTACCTACCTCACATGTCTAGTAGTTCATAATCAACTTTCAGTTGAATTTACAAATGCAACCTTTTAGCGAATTTCCCATATAGGGAATAAGCTATTACCGTAGTACTCATGGTAAGACCTGGACCCGGGACCGATTTATTTTTTCTTTTTGATGTCCCTTGAGGCCAAAAACACCATCCTTTCAAATTCGTATGTATTTATATAATATATTTATAATTAGGGAAAATTTGGTACAAACGTGTAAACCTACGTTTATTCGAACGAGTTCACAAACCAGCATGATCGGACCATGGGAACGGGGGTTTATGGGTGGTTTTAGATACAAACTTCAAAAAACATTAGGAAACAAAAGACCCAACACAAATTAGAACACATACATTTACTAAAATCAAAATTATCAACCCATAAACAAAATTTAAAAACTGCTAAAAGAGAATATTCTGATAGTAAAATAAAAAAATCCAGTAATACAATTAAAACAGTATGGAACATTATTAACTCAGAGGTAGGATGTAAGAAAGGTAACAAATCCCGAAACATTGAGCTAGAATATGGAGACAAGCATTATAGCAATCCAGATGATGTTTGTAAAATATTTAACGATTTCTTGGTTAGTGTAATAAAAGATAAATACTGATAAGACAATACATAAGACCACAGAATATGAAAAGCTTGAACTTAAGTTAGGTTCTGAACATATATTTTGCAAACCAAGATTTAGACTTAAAGAGGTCACAACTAGAGAAATTGAAGACATCATTAATACATTTAAGAACAAATTCTCAAGTGGGTATGATGATATCCCTGTTATTTTGCTAAAAGCAGTAAAATTTGAACTTGGTCAAGTTTTATGCCACTTAGTTAATTCTTCTTTTATCTCAGGAAATTTTCCAACCCAATTAAAAATAGCTAAAATTATTCCCATGGCCATAGGCTACATAAAAAGAATGACGAAAAAATCCATCAAATTATCGGCCGCTATCTCTATTACCAACTTTATCTAAAATTTATGAAAAGGCAGTTTACATACAACTAACACATTTTCTTGAAGAACACCATCTCGTGGATAGCTCCCAACATGGGTTTTGTAGCGGGAAATCAGTGACAACTGCTAGTGTTTTTTTTATTGAATCAGTGATAGACTCAATAGATGCTGGTGAACCATGTGTTGGAATTTTTATGGACCTGTCGAAGGCTTTTGACACTGTGGATCATGAAATTCTTCTTGCTAAGTTAAAATTACTCGGCTTGGATCCTCATTCCTTGAATTGGTTTAGTTCATACCTAAATAATAGATATCAGTTTGTTCAGATTTACTCATTTAGCCAAAAACAATAGAATTATAAATCATAAATCAGAATTGAAACCAGTAAAATTTGGTGTGCCTCAGGGATCTGTGCTGGGACCACTCTTGTTTATATGTCATTTGAAAGATATTTCTAAATCATTATAAAACTCAGATAACACAAACCTCTGCCTATATGCTGATGTTGGGTCATTCCATGCCCATTCATCCAGGTCATGTCACCCATGACCTCAGATTTGGCTGAAATTTTTTTTATTTGTTCATTTGACCATTTAATAAGATATACCAAGTTTTATAAAATTATCTTGAATAGTTTTTGAGTTATGAATTTTTGAAATTTTGCAAAATACGCTTATAACAGCGCTTCCGAGGCGAAAAGGTTCGGTGACGTTCTTATAAAAAAAAATCCATAACTTCTACAATATTTAACATAAAGCAATAGTTTTTTCACCAAAATGTTCAGAGAAATCAGAGGATTATAGAAAAAATACATTTGGTTGGTTATTTCTTCACATTTATATGTAATGTATTGCTAAATTTAAATTTTGAGTTATTTTTTAATTTACAAACAAAAAATCTTTAAAAGCGATTATTGACCAAAGGCATAGCAGTAACCAAAGCAATTTTTTTTTAAATTAACCCTAAAGATATAAACTAAAGTAATCTGGAATAAAATTAATGGTTTTTTACCAGCTAATATTTTTTTTTATTCATATAAGTTACAATATGGGTTATGGCGAAGAAATCCTATGAAATCGATAACTTGACTTTGCTATCCAAGTTTAAAACCTCTAATATTCATCCAATTGCAAACAACATCTTTTAATTAAATTAATGACTTGTCAATAGTCAATACTTAAAATTTGTGCACTAACCCTTAGATATTAAATGTGAAAACATGTGTTTTAACTGTAACCGGTACCGTATACTAGGCTGTACATAAAATTAATGCTGCAGTAAATGATAGGCTATACCAATTATGTACTTACAAAGAAATGTATTTATTATTTATACAAGGGCTTATTTGATTAGAACATTTTTGTGATAATCATAAAGGTCTTTAACAGTAGAGGAGTTACCTTAGTTTTGGATATGGGTGCGTGTGAGCCTCAACATTTTCTTACAATGCAAGTCAGCAGCTTGAACTTCCTTTTCAGGAAAATAACACATCCTCCTTGAGCCTTTAGTTGTAGGTGGATTGACACTTGAAATTATGTTGCATAGGCAAGTAAAACAATTTTGCTGGTCCGTATGTAGAAATTTAACTTTAATATCACACTCAATGTCTTTTTTTTCTCATGACTAATCCGAAACACCAATTGTCATCATAAATGCACAATGTAGTCGACCAAGCTATTGTCCTGTTAGATTTCAGCAAAAACAATTCCTATGTAATCTTACTAATATAAATGTGAAAGTTTGTGTCTTTGTTTGTTTGTTTGTGTGTTTGAAGTTCAATCACGCATAAACCACTGGACGGATTGGGCTGAAATTTGGCATGATGATAGCTTACATTCCCGATTAACATATAGGCATATTCTTCGCTCAACCAAACTGGAGCGGAGGCCGAAAGGATTTTTGAGGTAAGAATATGCCTATATTCTAATCTATTATTAATATAATAATAGATTAGAGTTATAATTAATATAATTCTATTATTAATCGGGAATGTAAGCTATCATCATGCCAAATTTCAGCCCAATCCGTCCAGTGGTTTATGCGTGATTGAACTTCAAACACACAAACAAACAAACACAGACACAAACTTTCACATTTATATTAGTAAGATTACATAGGAATTGTTTTTGCTCAAATCTAACAGGACAATAGCTTGGTTGACTACATTGTGCATTTATGATGACAATTGGTGTTTCGGATTAGTCATGAGAAAAAAAAGACATTGAGTACCTATATTAAAGTTAAATTTCTACATCCCCACGGACCAGCAAAATCATTTTACTGGCCTATGCAACATAATTTCAAGTGTCAATCCACCTACAACTAAAGGCTCAAGGAGGATGTATTTTTTTCCTGAAAAGGAAGTTCAAGCTGCTGACTTGCATTGTAAGAAAATGTTGAGGCTCACACGCACCCATATCCAAAACTAAGGTAACTCCTCTACTGTTAAAGGCCTTTATGATTATCACAAAAATGTTCTAATCCAATAAGCCCTTGTATAAATAATAAATACATTTCTTTGTAAGTACAATTGGTTTAGTCCATCATTTACTGCAGCTTTAATTTTCTGTACAGCCTAGTATACGGTACCGGTAACAGTTAAAAACACATGTTTTCACAATTAATATCTAAGGGTTAGTGCATACATTTTAAGTATTGACTATTGACAAGTCATTGTAATTTAATTAAAATATGTTGTTTGCAATTGGATGAATATTATAGGTTTTAAACTTGGATAGCAAAGTCAAGTTATCGATTTCATAGGATTTCTTCGCCATAACCCATATTGTAACTTATATGAATAAAAAAAATATTAGCTGGTAAAAAACCATTAATTTTATTCCAGATTACTTTAGTTTATATCTTTAGGGTTAATTTAAAAAAAAAATTGCTTTGGTTACTGCTATGCCTTTGGTCAATAATCGCTTTTAAAGATTTTTTGTTTGTAAATTAAAAAATAACTCAAAATTTAAATTTAGCAATGCATTACATATAAATGTGAAGAAATAACTAGCCAAATGTATTTTTTCTATAATCCTCTGATTTTTCTGAACATTTTGGTGAAAAAACTATTGCTTTATGTTAAATATTGTAGAAGTTATGGATTTTTGTATATAAGAACGTCACCGAACCTTTTCGCCTCGGAAGCGCCGTTATAAGTGTATTTAGCAAAATTTCAAAAATTCATAACTTAAAAACTATTTCAGATAATTTTTTAAAACTTGGTGTATCTTATTAAAATGGTCAAATGAACAAATAAAAAAAAATTCAGCCAAATCTGAGGTCATGGGTGACATTTTATTTTTTTATTGGATGATTTGAAATGGAATGACCCGAATTCAAATCTTAAAGTATCGGGTAATAATTTAGAACAGGTAGAAATTTTATCATTCACTGAAATAGGAAATATGATTACTTTTTTTGAAAATTACAACCTCCACTTAAATATCGAGAAAACTAACTACATTTCATTTAAAACAGCCCAATCAAGGATCAAAAAAGAACCCTTGATTTTTGTGAATACTGAGCCTATTGAGCTTGTCACAAGTACAAAATTTCTTGGTCTAACAATAGATGCAACCCAGCAGACGCACAGGCAGAGTTCGCCTATGTCTGCTGATTCCACAAGACCATTAATTACAACTAGCTACAAAATTATAAGTTTTTTATGTTCGTTTTGCTAGTTTTAGTATAATTCAACATTAAGTTCACAACTTTGTAATTTTTTTCTGTTTTTGATTATTTTATGTTGTAAACTTAATATTATAGTAAAAAGGTAAACATTGTACTTTGTAGCAAATTTGACGGAATAAATCATTCATTCATTCATTCATAATAACTTGGATTGGAATAAGCATGTAGACAACATTTTAGCTAAAATAAATTCTGGCATGTACGCACTAAGAAGAATGGCAGGGATGTGCAGTGAATCCACTCTTAAAATTATTTACCATTCATACATTCATTCACACATTTCATTTGGAATTTGTCTGTATGGCTCATCTAAATTAGAAAATCTAGATAAAATACTTAAAGAACAAAAGAAAGCGATTAGAATAATAAAAAACCTACATCCAGGTACATCATGCAGGGAACATTTTAAAATGCTAAACATATTAACAGTTTATGGTCAGTTTATTTTAGACACTATTATGATATTTTTACAAGAAACACACCATTACAACACGCGAAAAAAGAATGTAATCATACCCACTCACCATAGACTTGAATTTTACACAAAGAAGCTGTCTTACAAAGGAGCAAGTTATTTCAGAAAATTGCCAAAAGAATTAAAGTGTCAAATAAACAGTTCCAAATTTAAACTAAAACTAAAAACTTACTTGGTTTGCAAAGTATTATATTCCATAGAAGAGTATATGAATAATTAAGCAAATGTTAATTTAAATAGCTAAGTTGACACTATTCAGATGTACTAACATGTACTTGTCTTGTACGAATAAAGATATTTTGATTTGATTTGATTTATGGGGTGAAAATGGGGTTTTCCCATTTTTTTACCCAAAAAACATAAAATTTTGCAATTTCTTTCGAAGCTATTTCGTAGAGCTTCAAAAAACAAATAATTTAGTATATTGAAGCGTTATAATGCGCCTAATGGTTACGGAGAAAACTCCAAAAAATTGTAAATTAAAAATTCCCATGTTATTCTTATGGATTATAATAAGTAAACTGTTGTAGTTTGCTTGTTTATTAACATATTTTGCCCAAATTTGGAAAATGTTTTTATTTCTTACTAACTATTAACATATTACATTAAAAAAAACTTTTACCCTCCCTGTAGCAGCAAACCTAAGTAGGCCTACGTGTTAAACTGATTCTATTTAAATAGGGAATAAATGTGATATTTTTAAGGAGACATTTTAGTTTAAATCCAATCAGGCAAATGGAAATTCGCTTAGTCTGCAGGTTTGCTGCGGCGGGGAATTGTTTTTTTTTTTATTAGAAAAACTATCCTAGTACATCGGTTTATGATGTAATTGAATAAAATACCGTTTTTAAGAAAGATAACAATAGATGACGTAATAATCAGCGGATATATCTGCCTACTGTCCGCTATGCACAAAATGATAGCGGATATATATCCGACTATAATAATTGTCAGCAAGATTTTTGAACCTGTTCAGATATTTAAAACTGAGCCCATTGCTAATGTTCAAAATGAATTTGCTTTTGTTATTGTACTTTTGTCTGTTGGCAAAGTTTTATTATTTCTTGTAGCCTAACTGTTAATATTGATATGTTTACAATTTGATCCCAACTAGAATTTTCGTTGTACTTTTTCTTAGTCCTTTTTGATAGACACCTGTAAAATAAATCTCTATTTTGCAGAAGTTATGCTGAGAGCATGGGAGAGCCAGACAGAAGTGGTCAGCTCCCACCAGGCTCAAAGAAGCACTCAATAGATGACATCATTGACCACATGACTGCTGACCTGCAGAGTTACGATGGACAATACTTGCTGTTGGGTTCCCCTCCCAATCCTCCGCACGTCTGGCCGCAGTCGGTCCACAACCCTGTCTTTGTCCAACAGCCTTATGACATACAAGATAGGAAAATACAAGATTTCCCACATCAACCTCCTCCGGGACTCTTCTATCCCAACCCTCCTCGAGTTCATGAAAATTCTGGAGAAATGATTGGAATGGTAGATGTTGGCGGTGGTAATTTTGTAAATGTCGTATTCAACCCATCAAATCCTCCCAATCCTATGCATCCTTTCCTCCCCTCTCATCATTCGGATCCAAATTTGGGTTATATACATTATCAACAGCAACCTCCAGCTCAACCTCAACCCCAACCGCAGCAGCAGAATCCTCAGATGTCGACTGGATCTTCTATCCATAGAGATTATGGGCTGTTCAACACCACGAGTGAACCTACGAGTCAGAACAATCATCAGCTGATAGAGAATGTTGTTGGTAACTGGCTGCCCAACAAGAGTGGAACTTACAGTCCTTTTGGAAATGTCTCTCATCCACAATCGGAGGTTAAAGAAGAAGACAGGACAGTTCGTCCTGCTCAACCTGGACAGGTGAAAAAACCCAGGATTGTTGCTGAGGTTCGTCCAATGAGACCTTCTTATTCAGATGTGCTCGCTAAGTCTGTGGTGCCCCCTCTAACCCCTCCACCAACTGCTACAAAACCCATTGTCCCAACGGGCACTGTGACTAAGACTGAGGGAAGGAAACAGAGCACCAAGGGAGTGAAAGTGGGTAAGCTATATCTGACAGAAATAAATAACATCTGATAGAAGTAGTTCTATTGTAATCTGTGTGATAGGCCTAACTATATTCATTCTCAAAATAATCAATGCCATAACCTTTAACAATATTTGACTGCCCATATGGAAATGATTTTTTTAACTTGTTCATGTAGTACCTTCTCCAAGTCAAATCTGTATCCTAACATAATAAGCAATTGGATAAGCAATTGGCCTAACATTGAAATGATTGAGTATTAAGTACAGAGTATTACAGTTGGTCGATCAGTGACAATTATGATCAGACCTATATTTATCTAGGTACCTAACAAAGTTATCCTAAGTATAAAAATGTGTTGATAGGATCGAACAACGGAGCTCCAAAAACCGGCAATCATCCGTCACTTAAGCGTCAACAGTCGAACAACGAGGACCAAACAAAGACAAACGTGAGACGTTGGATATCTCTGGATGATTTGACTCCACCACAGAGCAGTGAAGAGAACTCATTTGTGGACTACGACTCGTATCTTGACGACAACGTCGGTAGTGGCTCAGACAACTACATTCAGCCACCGGCCGGTGAAGTCAAGAAGGAGAAGAAGCAGAAGAAAAAGACCAAACTGCCAGGTGAAAGCTCTACCCAACGATAGTCATTACTCATTAGATACAGGAATAAGCACATTTTGTATACTTTATTAGCCCAAAAAAATTAAGCTATTATTAAAACCATTACAGTAATATGAAATGAGTTAAAATTAACATCAAGATTAAATTCCAGCATCAAAAATACCTTTGAAATTAAGACTAATACTGTAATATTAATGAGTGTTTTATTTTACAATAGGCAGATAGTGTTTTTAAATTTAATATTCTGTATAATCCTGTCACGCTAGGTTCATTAAAATCTGTTTGGATTTTTTTTTTGTTTAGGACAAAGTATATTTGAAACACTATTTAAGAAATTAGTAATAGCCTAACTGTAAAATCTGTTTCCAGATTGTGTCAATTCCTTTCCCTTTTCCTGTTGACCAAGCTCCAAGGTAATCAGTTCTGCTTTGTTAAACATTTTCCGACAGCCTGAGAAATATCTAAACCCTGTTAGAAATAAATCATTTAGGTATACAGTAGACTCCCTCTTTTCGGGACACCTTTTAACCGGACATCGGTTTAACCGGACTACACTCGGCAGAAATGACATCTCTTTAACCAGACAATTTTTATCAGCACATTGGTTTAACCGGACTAGATCGGCAGGAAGTGGGCAGTACTGAAACGACTGTTCTTGTGGGAAAGATTTGAGACGAGTGATCACGTGTCTAAATACAATGCTCTCCTAAATTTAAGTCGAATATCACAGTAAACAGTCCGTTTTAACAAGTTTTTGGGGACGTCTTTTTAACCGGAAAACCCGTTATCCGGACTGGCCTCGGTCCCGAGGAGTCCGGATAAGAGGGAGTCTACTGTAGTTTATTTTTGGTAGCATTAAAGGTTACTTTTTGCTAAATAAAATACATGCCCCTCTCCTAACAACTCAAATGAAAGGTAAGTAACGCAAATCTTTTGAATCAAATTAATGATAAAAAGTTATTTTTTCCAAACTAAAAAATAAAAATATTTAATTTAGATATAAAACGCAACAAGAAGAGCAAAATTCTCAAGAGTTTAATAGGCCTATTTAAAATTGACATTGGGAGTTTAAGTTGATAAATTAATCATTAAACAAATTTGGTTTGGTTCAGTGACTGTTATCAGATCCTCCTCTAATACAAGGCTGAGTAGCAACACCGATGTCCTGTCAAACCAAAACAGCTGTTGCACTAATTTATAATGGACTGTATAAGAAATGTTTACACTTTTGTTATTTCTCCTGTTATTACCAACTAGCGGCTAGTCCCTGTCCACCTAATCTGTTCGGCAGCGAAACTTCTACCCTCCCTCCAGCCCAGCTGTTATTTGGAGGCTTCTGATTGGCTGAGGGAACACCATTGCCTCAACGATACGGCATGATACCATCGGCTTCGGTAGTATAGTGGATAAAGTGTCGGGCTGATGAACTGAAAGAGTTGGGTTCGAATCTCACCCGCGGCACAATTTTTTTATCTCGGATTTTTTCATTATCAGCAAGTTTGGTTGGTTTGGTTAGGTTATGACAGTTTAATTTTATAATTAAAACATTATAAAATTTAATTTCAACCATTTATAGTTTTATTTTATGAACAGAACAATTTTTTCAATTTTTAAACCTTAATTCGATTTTTCATGATCAGCAAGTGTGGTTAGTTTGGTTAGGTTATGACAGTTTAATTTTATAATAAAAAAATTAAAAAAATTGAATTTGAGGCATTTATAATTTTATTTTATAAACAGAATTTTTTCGATTAACAAAGCTTTATTGATTTTTTTCATTATCAGCGCGTTTGGTTGGTTTGGTTAGGTTATGACAGTTTAATTTCTTAATAAAAAATTATAAAATTGAATTTGAGGCATTTATAATTTTATTTTTTGACAAAACTAATTTTTCAATTAGTAGACCTTCATAATAGTCAATCAGAAGCCTCCAAATGACACTGTTGGCAAAACTAATTGGAATAAAAGTTCAGCTGGAGGGAGGGTAGAAGTTATATATAGACTAGCCGCCAGTGTTTTGTTATTACCGTGGCAATATGCGCGACGTTGCCACACACCAACGCTGCGGCCTTGTGTTAGAGGAGGCCGTACTATTATCATTGACTGTTTTGGCTATTGAGAAAGCTACTAGACTTATTATCTGAAAGATATTAACTAGGGTGGTCTGCCGTTACACTTTAGACGCATAAATGAGCGAAGCATTATTTAAAGATTGTCAATGGCTAAAGCAGCTAACACCCTTCAACATGTTCCCTTTCAAAAGATTCACCGTTTGTTTGCCCGATATTATTTCAATTCTAAAGAATGACAAATTTATCTGATAGTTTATACTGCACCTTTGTAGTGAAACTGGCCATCCTGACCATTTGCTTGTACTTTGTAAATGGGCATAGCAGGATGTACTCGTGCAATCAACATTTGTTCTACAATCGTCAGGTCAGTTAATTCGTTCGGGACACTTGACACATCCATATTATTTAACACCGTGAATTTAGTTGCATTTGAACGTCAACGCGAACAAATCGGTGATTGGTTTGAAGCTGTTAGTTGTTGACGATGACAGTTAGTGCAAGTGTAACATTTTTGTAAATCTAATTCATGTTGGAATTGATTAGCTAACTGCCTATCATTATCAGCTTCTTCCGCCACTGCTTCATCTGGTTCTTCTTGTTCACGACGCCACTCTCTTACAATATTTGCATTATCGGTGCGACGACCAATATTACGACGTGGCCTTTGAGGCATGCTCAAAACAAATATAGCAAAACTGTTACATTCCAACTTTAACCTATGATGAAAGTAAACATTGAAATGTAAACAAAACAGTTACAAACAATTATCATATGTTTATCTTATTTAAATTAAACGAGATAAACCCATATGTCATAAACCCAATATAATTTTTCTTTCAACTTACATTAAAATAACAAGCGAAATTGCGTGACCCGTAAAATAAAATCCAGAAGGAAATTTGCAAATATTTTTTACCAAAACATTGTGCTCAGTATTCTTTAGCTGTTGGCCAAATTTCATATCAATTGGTCAAGCCATTACATTCTGATGCCCTTACAAAGAAGTTACAAAGTGAGGGAAAGTGAGCTTCGCTCCATAATATAATTGTATCTTAGATCATGGATCATATTTTAAGGTAATATCATAAAATATGGTGCCTTGAATATTGATCAGATGTTTAATTTTGCAACTATAGTTTTAAATTCAAGTGGAATTCTTTAGAGCTTTTCTATTGTTAATGCAAATTTACTGTATCAAATAAACTATATGATCTTTTGAATGTTTTTAGAAGACAAGTACGAAGCCTTGAATAACCACAAGACTTCCGGAGGAACAAACGGTGGAAACAAGCGGCCTCTGCATATCAAAGACAATCTGCAAGGCAAAACTGGCAGCTCTGAGAAGAATGTTACTAAAAGTGCTTCTAAAAACACCAGATCTCAGGAAGAAAACAAAAAAGGTAAAGACAGTAAAGGTCAATGATTGATTAATACATGGCTTTTGGAAAGGCACAAATACTTTAAGTTACTCTGCCTCAAATATTTACTTTATTTTAACCTACCTTTATTGGTAATTTCTTTTCAATTGTCAAACTTATTTTTGTCCTAATGGAATTTGTAACAGCATTTAATTCATAACTATCCAAAGAGTACTGTGCTAATAAATATGCTAAAATGTCTTCTATCATACCTATCTTCTATCTTAACTATCATAATCCTACAAATTTTAGTTTTATTTGAAGCACAAAAGGTATAAAATATGACACACTATCAATAATATTTTCCATAAAAGACTAGTTTGATGATTTATAAAAGGAGCTAAACATCAGTATCAATCACGTTGTTGAGTCAGTGTCCCGTTGCAGGTTTGAGCAACGGAGGGGTTGGTGGTGGCAGCAAGTCTAATGTGAGTACGGAGGAGAGAGGGCCGAGTGTGTCTAGAGTGTCCCGCGGTGGAAGCTCGTCCGGGGCTCGGCGGGGACAGAGGGCCAAGCGCAAGGACGGACAGAGCTACCTGGGTAACTATTGGCTAATATACAAGTTTATTCCAAGAAATTGTGGATAACTTTCGTTTTCGCTTATCAAAGACTGATAAGAATAAAAAAACGAGTTAGAAGGATTAATACTTGCCGAATTTGTGTCGTTTTTAGCACACTAATAAAACTTGACAGGGTTAAAAACAACTGTAATGGTGTAGTTTTTGAACTGTAAATGTCTGGTCGCTGTAAATGTTTCCCTGTTAGGTGTTGTGATGTAACTAGCCCAATCTGTGAAAACAATCTATTAAAACGTTGTTCACTTCAAGCTAATTCAAACAAAATAATGCAATAAATGCCTTGTATGTTATACAGAGTGGTTTTTGTGACTGGAATTGTGTCCTAAAGAATACTCTCTATAGTGAAATCAAGTTGCAGGTATTATTTATTTGTGCTTTTTCAGCTGTACTATGCAAGCGATGGCAAGAACAGATGTCCTACTACGGCCTCATGTTTCTCACTTGGTTTCTTCATCTCATCTGGGACGTTTTGGCAATGTCTGCTCGTCTGTTGGTTCATCTGTAAGTTACCTTGAGTATGAGTTAATCTGTTCCAAATGTTGACTGTAGGCCTACCAACAAATGTATAAGCCTATAGTTGTAAAATTGGTTGATATAGAAATGTATGTGTAGCCAAATAGCACCATGCTGTGTAATACTTTTTCATTGTGTTTATTGTAACTAAATTAGATTTTTGTGTTTACAAAACAGTGATATAGTTATAAATCTAAAAAAAAACTCAACAACTGCTCTTACGTTCCCTTTACTAGTATAATTTTAACTTTTAATTTACAGTTTTTGAATAATCCAGGATAATTTACAAATAAAGAACAAAAAACTCAGTTTTAGGGCTGTTTAAGTTTGTCTGTATTGATTAAAATGTGAAGCGCTTACCTTATTCTTTCATAATTTGTTTAAAATTTGTTTTTGTCTTATTGTTTAAATAATATCATAATGAACCTCCCGGCCATTTGATCTTTGTAAAAAAACTTATGAACTAAAAAAAAAAACTGTAATAATGAAATTTAATTACCTACTAAGTATTAACCTAAGCTATTTATCCCTCATCCTTTATTAAGTATTAACCTTAATTTGTACTATCTTCAAACCTGTCAATGTCACATTATCAATCACTGTTTAGGTTCTCGGTGATGTGCGAGACGGGTCTGGTGTGGCTGCAGTGGCTGCAATGTAAAGTGACTGGTCTGATTGGCCGAGAGCCCTGGTGGAACTGGTGGGGCAAGAAGCCGACTCCTCCGCCAAAGAACAGTGAACCACCACTGCCAGGGGGACTGACCTGCAACATCTCTCTGCCAGCCACCGGGGACGAGGCCATGAAGAGGCTGCTGGCTTGTAAAGGCAAAGACCCGTACAGGTGAGAACTAAAAAAAACTCAATATTAATCCAATGATTTCTAGTGATTTTTTTTGTACGTTACTATCTCAAATGCTGAAGGAGTAGTGGTCTAAACCTCTGAATTTTTTATTTTCTTATAAGACTAAGGTTAAACCTGTCCCTCTTGCACTAAAGTCTGAGTCGATAATTTGTTTCCTTTAGAACTCAATTACATATGTTATTTGGAAAACGCCATGTTATAATATAATACATCAAGGAATAACATTGGCTAATTCACATGTCCTCTTGTTGATAAATAAAACAATTTCTTCAACATCATCCGAATGACAAAAAAGAAATAATATACATAATATCGTGTAACAAGTTTATGAGCACCTAAAACTCGCCATGCAAAGGGTGAAAACCAAACAGCACGCTCGGCAAACCATTAGTCAAAAAAGTAGGGATGGACGGGTCCCGAAATTTCGGGAATTTTTCGGGAAAAAAATATTCCCGATTATCGGGACGGGATTACATTTGACTCGGGAATTTTTCAGGACGGGATTTGGCCCGATCGTCGGCGATTTTTCCGCTTCGCGAGTGCCGATAACGCCGTTATTGCGAGCGTTAGGTCCGCGAACGCAGGAGATGAAGTCTTACCGACGATCGCGCCGTGACCAGATCGCGCCATGACCGCGAGTCATACCGACGATCGCGCCGTGACCGCGAGTCATGCCGACGATCACGCCGGAGTCATACCGACGATCGCGCCGTGACCGCGAGTCATGACGACGATCGCGCCGTGACGCGGAGCCATGCTGACGATCGAGCCGTGATCGCGAGTCATACCGACGATCATGCCGTGACCGCGAATCATAACGACGATAACCCCGTGACCGCGGAGTCATACCGACGATCGCGCCGTGACCGCGAGTCATGACGACGATCGCGCCCTGACCGCGGAGTCATGCTGACGATCAAGCCGTGATCGCGAGTCATACCGACGATCATGCCGTGACCGCGAGTCATACCGACGATCGCGCCGTGACCGCGGAGTCATGCTGACGATCGAGCCGTGATCGCGAGTCATACCGACGATCATGCCGTGACCACGAGTCATACCGACGATAACCCCGTGACCGCGGAGTCATACCGACCATCGCGCCGTGACCGCGAGTCATGATGACGATCGCGCCGTGACCACGAGTCATGACGACGATCGCGCCGTGACCACGGGTCATTACGACGATCGCGCCGTGATCGCGAGTCATACCGACGATCATGCCGTGACCGCGAGTCATACCGACGATAGCCCCGTGACCGCGGAGTCATACCGACGATCATGCCGTGATCGCGAGTCATACCGACGATAACCCCGTGACCGCGGAGTCATACCGACGATCGCGCCGTGACCGCGAGTCATACCGACGATCGCGCCGTGACCGCGGAGTCATGCTGACGATCGAGCCGTGATCGCGAGTCATACCGACGATCATGCCGTGACCACGAGTCATACCGACGATAACCCCGTGACCGCGGAGTCATACCGACCATCGCGCCGTGACCGCGAGTCATGACGACGATCGCGCCGTGACCGCGAGTCATGACGACGATCGCGCCGTGACCACGAGTCATTACGACGATCGCGCCGTGATCGCGAGTCATACCGACGATCATGCCGTGACCGCGAGTCATACCGACGATAGCCCCGTGACCGCGGAGTCATACCGACGATCGCGCCGTGATGCGAGTCATGACGAAGATCGTGCCGTGACCGTGAGTCATACAGACGATCACCCCGTGACCCGCGAGTCAAAAGTTACTATAGGTACCTGTAAATTGTTACCCATTTTTTGGTTTTTATAGATCAGTGCCACAAATGGTAAAAATTGATTTTGTATGTCTTTTTTGGTAACTGCAATACAGTACTTTGTTTTTATGCACAGAAAAAAATCCCGTCCCGAAAATCGGGAAGGAAATAAAAATCCCGTCCCGTCCCGTCCCGAACTAAAAATTCAATCCCGTCCATCCCTACAAAAAAGTAAGAAAATCATCAATGCTATCAGATGCGTCGGCCTGGAGGAGACATTCCACACCCTTTTTGAACTGTTAGTTAGTTTGGAAGGTTGAGCGCTGAACAAGAAAACATATTAAATAGTTGTAAGCTTACAATGCCATAGTTTATCTGTAATTTCTTAAGCCTAACAAAGGGTATGTTTACATAATGTTTTCTTCTCTGTTGTATAAGTGGATATTGCTCCTGAGTTTGAGAGCACCCGCCTCCTCTTTGTTATGAGGAGGGACTGGAAGATAAAAATATTGTAAGCAGTCATGAGAGATTCTACTTTAAAAATTGGCTTACAGTGATCCAGGCGCTTGGCTCCTGCTACTATTCTTACTGCCTCTTTTTGAAGGAGTAGGACTCTCGAATCTAGGAGCTGCACCCCAAAATTAACATTCATTGACCTTCATGGAATGGACGTTTTGTTATTTCTTATGAGCTTTGCGCTAAGCTTTGTGGGGTTGAGATAAAACCCCTATATTTAACACTTTTCAATGTTTCTTTTTCAGTATACTCGGTGTAACAAACAACTGCACAGATGATGACATCAAGAAGTACTACAAAAGGCAAGCAGTTTTGGTGCATCCTGATAAAAATTCTCAACCAGGTGCAGAAGAGGCTTTTAAAATCTTGGTTCATGCGTTTGAACTCATTGGAGAGCCTGTGAGTAGGCCTAGTATTTCATGCCACTTAGTTTACGCAACAAGCACATATTTGATTAAGCACCAACATGTTATAATCTGAATGTTATCTTTCTAAATCCCTTTAATCTTTTTAAAGTACACTGTCTACGATAAAAAAAAATAGTATATTCCATCACTAGGGCCTAAAGTGACTCTTTTTGACCCAAGGTCAAGTTTTACGGTCGATGCGAAGCTGAGGTCGGAGAATGAGCGAGGGTTAAAACGACACTTTTTGCCCGTCTGGTGAACTACTGTATATTTTTTCCATATTGCATAATTTATTAACAAACTAAGCTAGAAAGCAAAATAATTTTCTGTAAAGATAACCTCTCAAAACGACTTCCAGCTTGTTTTCAATTCCGCTAATGCAAATAAGCAGCTGTTTCAATAATTTTGTCTATTACGATTGTGTTACACTAAATTATACCACTGATATGTCTAGCGATCGAATAGGCTAACGCCTTACCTAATAAATCAACCGATAAATAGCTTTTATCCACACAATTGTCACAATCAAAATTTTCAACGGTTTACAACAGCTGATTTTTACTCCCTAGAGAGTAAAAATGCTAATTTAGACCTGCAAGGCATGCATTAAAAAAGACTGATTTTGCTGCAGTATGACAAAAATAGCATTTTTGAACTGAATGCCGGATACAGGAAGAAAAAAAAAACTAGATGAATATCCTAGACTAGAAGAGAGTTAAGTTACGTGGTTGAGACTATGTAGAACTCAAAAAAACCCTGTAGGAGGTTTTATTTAAAAAAGCCAAGGCATATGCAAAAGAACTTAACATTCACATTAAATTTTGTTATCTAGGTAGGTACTTTACAATGTTATTATTCATACAATTTAAAACTGGAGGTTATCAGTTTTGTGATGTATCTGATGATGCCAGCATAGCTGGCGAAAGGCCTCATAAAATTAATTCATGAAATATTGGTGATGTTTTTATTTTAATTTGTATCCATTCCAATATTAACAGTTCTTCTTGAAGATTATTCATATTTGACGACTGAGATGTATGATTGTAAGAAATTATATTTACTCAGAGGATAAATGACAATGATTGGTGATTACATAATACAACAGTATTACAAAAATTAACTCTTTATATATAATTGGAATGGTTTATTTTCATCCCGATAAATCAAATCAAACCTCCTGATAATTCAAATTAATTTGCCTTGCTTAACAATACCAAATAATCAAGAGTCTACTGTATATCTAACTGGTTAGACGAAGTTCCGTTTGTCAAACTCATATGCTTTGATTTAGCATCAATTAGTGAACAAACTTCAATTGTGATGTCATAGGCAACATTATTTGACCGATGTTTGTGTTTGCAGGAAAGACGAAGTGCATACGACCGATGTGTGGCTGAGACTCACCAAGTGGAACAAGCTTGGAGTGAACTCAGCGAACTGCTTTCTCAGCTGCACCACAAGATGGAGTATGCAGCCAACACCATCAGGTATGCGAGAGGTGTAACGGTGTCACCCACTAACACTCACCTACCACCATCTTCTATCAACAGGATGTTTTATTTTCCCAATAGTTCATTGCACTTTTTTAAATATCCATCATAAGTATTAGTATAAAGTCTTATTGTGAGTTTACTGAAAGTAAGTTACATGTTGAGGGTAGGTTAAGGTAATGAGTCTGGGGGGGAAGGTATCAGATTATATAGATTGGTTTTCGCTTAATGCATTTCATCAAGATAAATAATGCTTAGTGTATCTATTAGCGAATTTCCTATATAGGGAATAAGCTATTACCATAGGTCTCATGGTAAGACCTGGACCCCTGGCCGATTTACTTTCTCGTTTTGATGTCCCCAGAGGCCAAAAACACCATCCTTTCAAATTCATATATACATATGTGTCCGTAACCAGTTTCAAAGTGGTTGATTAACTATTTTGTGGCTGTCTAGTCATATAACCCAGTTAATGATGAAAAAGGGTTGCATCAATATAACGATTGTTGTTCTTGTTGAACAGATGTACAAACTGTGGCAAAAGACATAAGCGAGTGATCATGCAGCGGCCTTGCTATGCGGCTAGGTTCTGTGCTCAGTGTAAAATACACCACTCTGCTAGAGAGGTAAGTGTGCCCTTGGTTATGCTCAAGATTCTTGTTGGATTTACAGAAAAATTAACTTTTCTAGAAAGTAACTGTATCTATATTTTATAACATATAAGGTCCCTACAACGGGGCTGTTGCTAGTGTAGGGTCTGTCACCTTAATGGTTAAATATAATGTAGATCTGGTAGTCTCAAAACCACTGTGCCATTGAGTGCTTTCTCTATCTTCTTTATGTATAATTTTTAGCTAAATGTTTAGGCATAGGCCCCAATAGTATGTTTTTCAGATTGGGAAATTGTCAGGATACAGTACATGGAAGGGGTTTTGGAAGAGTTTAGAGTACTGCAAAGCCTTCTTTGAAGGGGTTAAGTGATTGGAAACCATGTTGGTAGGTGGTGATTAAGGATGGGGTTTTCAAATGTCCTAAGTTTTGCTCATTCATTTTGATGGATTGGGCTATGTTGATTCGGTTTTTTACTAAGCTATATATATGGATAGCCTCTTACGGAGAAGGCAGTGGCCATTTTATTATCGTTAGTAAGCTAATGGTTTAATCTTATAAATATATTTAAAAAATTTGTTTTTCTATTCTGAGTTCGTTTGGCCCTTCTAACCAACCGGTTTTCATGATTGAGGTCTCAAATTGTAGGTATGCACAGACAGATATTACATCAAGCATTGGCATATATTTTATTTATGGTCCCGCTCGGCTTATACGTGAACGAAATTTGCTCCCCATGTATTTCATATGGAAGTTAAATTTGGTTTTTCTTTTCCGAGTTTGTTTGGCTCTTCTACCCGACCGATTTTCATTTTTGAGGTCTCAAATTGAAGATATGCACACACAGATTTCACATCAATCATCGGCATATATTTATCTACTGTATTAGGTACACTACCAAAAAACATCAATATGATTTATTTTTGAATTTTTACTTCAATATGAGAAGTATTTCACCAGTTATGGTTATATAATCCTATGTATTTCGATCTAAGAACCTTCAGTGATATACCGAGCTCATTTAAGCTATTAATTATTCAAATTCGACAGGTTTCAAGCAATCGCAAGGTGAACAACCAATACAAAAATTATTTTTTATAAGGCTTTTATATGAGTAAAAATCAATAGCTGCAGTATTGTTTATGTTTTTGTATATGTTTTTTAGATTCAAAATAATCAGGAAATTATAGGCTTTAATTTGAGCTATTGATCGTTTGAATCAGTTAAGTTCGAGATACTGTAATACTCAATCAAAAATCATAAATGTCATTATGTCTCGGATATGATATTTATTTTAACGCTGTGTAACAGCATGGGTCCTCTAGTTGTTAGTTTAATGTGTTTGTGTTGCGACAGGGTGATATCTGGGCAGAGAGTTGGATGCTGGGGCTGCTGTGGCACTACTACGCCTGCATGGAAGGCGCAGTGTATGACATCACGGAGTGGGCGACATGTCAGGCTGACAACCTGAAACATCTCAAGGCCAACAGTCACGCCGTGCAGTACAGGATAGTGCTGGGCAAACAGAACCACCACCACCACCTAGCTAGGGACAATTACAAGTGAGTCCATAAAGACTGACATTAGGGCATGGGCCTGTTGGTCGCACAGTCTTACAAATACGTCTATGTGGCAGGAAAATTGCGATGACATTGTTACCATCTTTCACATTCATTATTCAATACTATTTGTTGTGGCACTTCTATTTTTTGTCGTGTGTACTATTGTTGTGAGTGCCAAATTACAATAATGGTTGCATGGCAAATAAAAAAAGCCATAGGCCTACTCCGTTTTAGCAATTTAGTGAGGTAGGCTATTTATGTAAAATCATTTTATCAATTTTTTTTTGTTTACTATGTAGATTATACATCAATAAGTCAATTTAATTATATATTGTACAATATAAACAATTTTATTTTTAATGGTTAGTTTGTTTCTGAGAAAGCCACAAACTGTCTTTTGTTCTATAATAGAAGTGTAAATGATGTGTTTATGACTATAATGTTCAGAAATATTTTTGCTTTCATGCCACTTTATCCTACTAATAGGTAATAATAATAACGTGAAAAATACTAAACCAACAGTGTTGAAATTTGGTATGATTACAGCTCACATTCCCGATTAAGATATAGACATATTCGTATCTCAAAAATCCTTCCGGGCTCCGCCCCAGCGGCACTGGAGTTTCCCATGTTAACCTTATGATTATTCATATTACAAAGGAATTAAAGAATTTTGTCAGCTGTTTTCAACTGCACAAGTTGGATCTATAATAGGATTAAGGTTTACAGACAGGGTGCATCACTATTATTTGTTTGCATTTATGACAACAGTTAATTTGAACCAACTAGCAACAAAAAGCTGTGGTACATAATGAGAACTTTACTTTTTTCTATTGTTTAGGTGCAGTGGTAAAACATTATATCTATGTTAGATGTGCTATACTATAGCGTACTGTATAGATTAAAAGAGCCAAATTTTCTTAAACCGTATCTTTGACTATTAATACAACAACACCTTATCCTCTCCCATAACTGCAATAAGCATTTTATACTGATATGACAACCCCGTATGAAGGTCAGGTACTCTGCTAGTGTTTAATAAATCTATAATGGTTTTGAACTAAAAAAATATTCCAGATGTGAGTTGGCACAGGAATGGGACTTCAATCTACGATATATCCCCAAAAGCAAACTAGGCAGTATTTTATATTTTTACTAGCAGAGTACCCGTACTTCGAACAGGGTTGGCATATAAGTATAAAATGCTTATTGCAGTTATACTCAAGCTTTGCGTTTGCAATGGAGGAGGACACACTTTGATAAAATATTGTTCTTTAAATTTACGGTATGCTTGCTATAGCAACACATCTACCATAGCCATAATGTTCTACCACTACACTCCAAAAAAAAAAAAAAAATAATAATAATAGTGCTGCACACCGTTAGTAACCCTTATAACTTTTTAATGCTATTGCATATCATAGAACCAACTTAAATAGTTGAATGAAACAGCTGACTAAATTCTTTAATTATTCCTTTTAAATATTAATAAGGTTAACATTGGGAACTACAGAGCCACTGCGGAGGAGCTCGAAAGGGTTTTAGAGATAAGAATAGGTATTTATGTTAATCAAGAATATGAACTATCATTATGCCAAATTTCAGCCCAATCTGTCCAATAGTTAATGCGTGATTGGACTTCAAACAAACAAACAAACCCACAAACTTTCACATTTATAATATTAGTAAGAAGTAAGATAAGATTCTTTATCAATGATCACTGCTTGTGCTAACCCTTGGTTAAAATCATGTTAAGTGACTGATACAGTGATAGCTGTAGTTGTTATTCATCATGTGTTTTGTTTATGTAGCGAGCCTGATCTGGAAGAGTTCTTGAACAACTTGTACGCCCAGTCTGGCGTGGGGGGCGGCGACGGAGGAACTACCAGCGACAGTAACTCTCGGCAACGGCGAAAAGGAAAGCGCAAGAAGTGAGGCAGCTCCTCCCTCGACTCTTCCATGTAAATTTAATTGACAAAGGAGTAACCGATACCTTCCTGAAAACCTAGTAAACAATTTCCTCGTTCGGATTTCAGTTCTTCTGTTCCACAAGGTCATTGTCCTTTATGCTTAGTGGTTGAAAGTAATGTGCTGAATCACATCTCACAAAAGTGTTATTGCTTACCTACTAGGTAAATTCTACAATGTTTAGTTAGAAATTTGTATAGAAATTTAAAAACAATCGTTTTGGCTGTTACAGGGTTACTGAATTTTGGCAATGTTGTGTGCAGGATATTGACATTATGTTGAATTTCTCTATAAATATTAAATTTAAACTGTGATTCACTGACAAAAAGTTTCACTGTTCAGACAATAATATTTTCATTTTATGGAGTAATCGAACATATTATTATTTGAAATATCATATAATCTATTTTAAGCATTATTTAAACAGTCTATCTATGTATTTCTGATTGTAGTGAGCAGTTTGGAAAGTATTTTTTATGGGTATATGAAATACACAATGGCTTTAACATGTAAAAGTTAAAAATATCATTATAAATTTGTATAGGCGCAACATGATTACACTTTCTATTCCATTTAAAATAGTCTTTTCACTCATCTTAGTCCTGATCCTTTCTTTTCAAAATCTTTATCCAGATACATCTCACAATACTTATTACAGCACTATTTATTGACTGCATCTTGAATCGTTCATCACAATGACTCAGATGACCTCTGCACATTTTCGCTTTAAACAAACAATCTATCCAAACTGCTCTTGTACAAAAAATGTACTGCTTGCATTGACATGTACTTAATTCGTTGTTGGTTTGATATGACTAATCAATTTACATAGTGGTTTAAAGTTTTGGAAAAAACTGTGCTGTGCGAGCCAAAAAATGTGTATTTATTGTAATTGAAGAAACTAAATTCTTGTGATAACCTGGTAAGTTGATACATGCACTATCATCATTAGCAGTTAGTATTGGAAGAGTTAAATACAATTGATAAAGACTTCAAATAATCGTTTAGTTCCTACATGATTTTCTTAAAAATAAGGAAATATTAATAGATTATCTTTGCAGTGTTTTCTTTTAGGGTTTACGTTTACACATATTGCTTATTCTGTTAGTGTTAATTTGTAATTTAAAAAACTTATTTTTACAAAACTACATTTTTTTAGTAGATCTTAAAAGTCACATTTTAACTATTCACTTATTGAAATGACATCGTGTATACTAGTTTTTATTTTAAACATCAAAAAAAATATTTTAAACTAAAAAATAAAAACTGGTATCTCATTAAAACAAGATTGATAAGGACTTAAAGTTTAATTACTCTTTAGTATTTGAAGTTTTAATTAAATTTAGTACATACCAAGTTGATTTCTTTTTTGTTTGACTAATCGTAAGAAGTTAACATTGGATAAAAAGCTACTGCTTGTTCTCTTACAATCTGACTGATAAATAAGTTGTAAATTACAAATTATCTTCCACATTTAAGAACAGATTTAAATAACAGCTCTTTTAGATTATTACTGAAAATATATAGAAATAAATTTAGACACAGATATTAGAAAAGAGTGGCTTATCTTCTCCAGTGGCCGCTATCAAGGTTCAGTAGGATTATGTAATTAACGCTAACAATACATCCTAATCCTGGTTGTTGTTGTGTGTGTTCCTAATCAAAATAATATGAAGAGTTTGGCTATAGGCCTACTAAATAAATTGACAAAACATTAATTGTGAAGGAGGTTAACTTTATAGATCAGATATGTATTTGCATTTTTATAAATTATAAAATTTTAAAATCAGTAAGCTCACATAACTTGTTTCTGAAAGATTTTTTACCTTGTCGCAAAACACAATGAACAGCTTAAGTATTTCTACATTCCTTAAACGAAGGGACCCTTCTTTTGAAGGGTGAAATATTGTATCAGATATGGTATAGAACAAACATATTAATTTTGTTTTCAAAGTGTTGTTCATGTATGTGGACAAATAAATCTCAACCCTCTGACAAACACTAGTAATATAGCCGATAACAGAGCTTTTCTTTGACTTGAATAGTTTAAGTTTATATAACTCACAATAAGTAGCAGAAGTTTCACAATTATAGTTATTTAATTAAACGTTTGTTTTTCTTTTAAAAATCCTTCACCCTACGCAGTAAATGAATGGTTGTTGTTCTGGTTATTGTAAGAAACTTGAGTTTCAATCATGAACTTAATAAAGATCGAATGCTTTGTTCAGAGAAGTGCATTATTTACAAGTTAATTGTGACATTAACTCATCATACACTCATCTCCATTCATACTTGGCTTAAAATACCTACTTTGTATGGTCGCCATTTCAAAGAAAAGTATTAAAAGTATAAGACATTTGTATTAAAGATGTACTTCCAAGGTGTTCAAAATTAATAAAAATAAAGAAATTGAGTTTTAATGATCTAAACAAAGCTTTTATTTCTTATTTCAGGATTACTGTACTCAAGGGTCAAATAAACTTTAACAATGACGTTTTCTGCTTTTATTGGTATAACTTCATACAATTCAATTTTTTAGATAAAAATAACTCAATTTCACAAATATCTTCTGCAGTCAATAAATTTTCCCAAATCAATAAAAACAGTGTTCATCTTTATGGTAATCAATATTAACAAGTATTGCATTTATAATGAAACATTAATCAATAATAATTTACACATCAATAATAAACAGCTGCAAATTGTGCTATCGACAAACAGCTAGAAGCACTTTTGTTTTGAAAAATCTTCCTTAAGCTATAATAAAGGCTACCGAAGCATCACTAAGCTAGCTGAGACATGCTGTTCTTACTCTCTACCCAAAGCCATTGATATGTCAACTACGGAAATTCCAATATGCTATGTTTCAATTAATCAAAGGAATCTTTGTTGATATCAAAAGAAAAAAAAAACACTAATCGTAAAATTTAGCACCTCAAAACAGTTGAATTTTTATGTATCTGAGGTTTGATGGGATTCATAAGAATGCTCAGCTTAGAACAACTGATGCTACTTATGCATGAATGATAAATGGATTCAAATTGATAGTCTTCTAATATACCAGACTGAAATGATATTGCCATAGACAAAGGGATTAAATATTGAGTCAGTATTATTGACCGACAACAGTGCTGCGGTTAGCATATATTCTGGCATCCACCGCTAGGAATGCCATATTGTTTTGGTGTACTCCGCTGCAGCGTCAAGCGCTAGCGAGCGTTGCCATGACAAGTTAGTAGTTGGAGCCAGGGCTGCCAACTTCTGAAGTATTCCACGACATCCAGGGAGTAGGAATTTGTTCCAGTATTTTCCCAAGTTTAAAAAATTTCCGGGGATTTAAAAACAAAATAGTCTTTTCCGTTAATATTACAGGATTTCAGAATTTTGTACTTAACCCATATTTTGATACGTTGGTAACATTTCGTTTGCAAGGGTGGTAGTGCTGGAAGCAGACGGTGAGTGGACCACAGCAGCAAATCAAGCCACTGAGCATGCTCTATCGAACCTTCCTTTATCAGTCTATATTTAATTCTTTTGTCTATGGTATTGCTAAACGATAAGTATTTCCTTTGCATTCCAATATAAAACAACTAATGATGGAAAGTGAAATAGAAGTTCTTTTCTCAATAGCTGTGCCTGTTTTTTGTGCTTAAGATGCCCAGATTCTCATATAATTTCTAACTTTTCTCAAATTATGTATATATTTCACACCGTTAGATACCTACATTCATTTATTGGGTTGGACCTAAGAGAGTACAGTATAGTCACTTATCCAAAGGCCGATTGTCCGAAACGTTGCTTAAAACCAAAGGCTGATCACACGCGTTGTCGCGATCGCAAGAGATGATCAACGGTGGCACCGGGACCGCAAGATATGCTCACGGATGTCGCTACAATCAAAACAAGTAAAAAGTACATTCAAAATGGATTTATATGTTTTAAACCAAAGTAAAAATAATGCATCTTATTTTCACTGTCAATGACAGATTATCCGGAAAACCCAGTCATCCGAACACCAATCCCTAATTGTTTCGGATATCGACTTTCTACTGTGTACTCTTTAGTCTTTGGTTGGACTGACAAAGGAAAAGCAATACTTTGGGACTAATAGTAAACAAGCAGAAGAAGTAGATACTTAAACCTGCACAATCTACATGTTGCTGGGCATCTATAACTCACATTTAAACATACACAGTAAGGAATCAATTAATAAAAGTCAATTTTTACTTTTGTAAAATAAAAAACATTGTGAATCTTAAAAATATCTACTGTGGTTTAAGGATGCAGTAAGTTATTATACTCATTTTGCATTTTGTCGTGTTATTTATACTTTTAACGTTGTTTTATTGGATAGAATTTTATCCGATATTATTTTATATTACCTATATAGAAAATTCTGAATCATTTTGAACTATTTCAGAATAATACATTCTTATTTTCATTGGAATATTTTATGATTTAATATGTGGAGAGTGTATATATCAAGTAAAAGACTTTATTTAAAAACTCAGCTATACACTTGTAAAGTAATATCGTTAGTCATGTTTCTTACACTCCAATCCATTAAATAAATATAATTAGGGTAGATTGATTGTATAATTCAGTTTTAAACCTATAAGGCAGTAAAAAATACAACTTAACCTTCTTCTATTGAGCAAGTAAATGATGTATTCTATATATACATACTTTTGTCAGGAATTAACGCTCACTAGGGTCTACAAGACAGTAAAAAAATTACAACTTATAAGTATGGATTACATGGTAACAATATCCCAAGATGTTCCTACCTAAGATAGGTAAATATTTTATTTTTGATAACTTAAATGTTGAAAACTGAGACAACACAGATAAACTAGTGCAGTATATGTATGAAATAAACATTAACGATTCAATGAAGTTCAGCCTTTCATATGCTACAAACATTCAGCCTGTCTTTAGAGCTATGTCGTTGTATTTCGAACAGCTTGTTATTTTTTAAACAATTTGTAAACAGTTGAACAATTGTCAAGTCTATTTGAATACAACAAATATCTTTCTTACATTAATATAGTACGGTAAGTAAATCTATGTTAATTTTTAAGTTTTAGTTTACATTTAATCAAGTCATCTATCACTAAACCAATCAATGGCCTATCACAAAATTACAAGATTTGAATCCAAACAAAAATAATATAAATACAGTCATGTTAAATATCTCAACATTGGTCAGAATTTTTACTTTTTAACATTTTGTGGGCAGGCACACGTGTCTATTCATTGCTTATTGTTAATTTGAGTCGCATAAAAGATAGATTTAAAGAACAGTCAAGTCTTTAAGCTAATCAAAATAGAATTGATGAAAGTTTGAGTTAAGCAGATAGAACAAGTACAGTACCGCAAACCGTTAGGGAGAGGTAAAATTTAGTAAATGGTTTTAAGATTAATCAAATACAGATTGTACAGTGAAATCATTTCCTCAGGACCAGTGACAACCGAGGTAAAGAAGTGCAAGGCGTTACGTTAGATCATAATTTTTCCATGTCACCAATTGTCAATCACATAATTTAACATATGTTTCACTTTATGGGCAATGTGTTTAATCGTTTAATGCAATATGGGGAATTATTTACTCCTGAAACCACAACTATTTAGATGTATATTCGTAACTAATTAATTTGTGGAGAGTTCACAGATACTTGTAGGATCATTAGGTAGTTATATTTTATTGAAAATAATGTTAAGAGTTTTTGTATTCTACAAGTAAATCACAAAAGCCATAAGAAAGCTAGTAAGAAAGTATGATTCTTATGTAATAAAACACCAAGCCTGGTTTTGATCACCAAGGTTGTAGCCTATTTGAGGCGTTGATTATTAAAGTCCAAATTTGTAATTTTATAAAATTCCTAAAATGTCTTTTATACACTGAGAAAACAGTATACAGTCCTTGGATAACCTTAACTTTTTCTTTCCTTGTATAATATAGTTCCCTTTAAACACGTTTTGAGAACATATAATTCCTAGTACTGATCGCTTTACATTAATTTGTATAAAAAGAAAAGCCTTGGTCCAGATGGAAATTTGTTTGGGAATGATTTACACATCACCACATAATCCAAACTACACTGTTTTAGTCAAAAAGATAAAATTTAAATTTGAGTTTTATTTTGTGGTAAGAAGGGAATTTTGTACTACCTTGCCGTTTAAAAAAGTATTTGTAATTTTGTCTATTAAGTTCTGTACGATATTTTGGTGCACTAAAAATAAAAACCAATACAGTATACTATATAGGCTACCTATATCACTGGTAAAAGTGAAATATTAATGATTCAGCGATACTTCTTTCAACAATGTGCAACCGTTGCAAAATTAATATAGTACTGTAATTTGGGTCCTAAATGATCAATGTTGTTAATTGTAATTGAAAGTAGTACATTTTTAAATGACAGAGTTTGAAATATTATTGAGGAGGTATTGTATATTGTCTTTAGTTCTAATACTTATAATATTGAATGTAAGAGCAAAGGTATTTTAAGAATAGGGTCGAATACTTAAAAAAAATAGTAATCTTGAAAACTGCTTAGGTTTTAGATCACAAAAACAGACTTCCCTATACAACGAGGTTCACATTTAAAATGCAAAACAACTTTTTTAATATTTACATAAAATCTAACAAATACAGTAGTTAATTATTTTTTATTAAATACTAATACTCTTTTTATTACATATTTACAAACACTAACAATTTAAAACCTTGGCTATCTGTACAAAACATGACACAAACAGGCAGAAAAAATGTAATTATGCGGCTTTTAAACACTATGCTTAACAATGGTCTAATTCTCAACAACAATGCACACTCTTTGTACCTAAGTGAAGAAGTTGGTTTTAAAAGTACACATGGTGTTTTGTGTGTGAAATAAGTTTATAAAGTAGTCTTCATTTAGCCAAACATAGATGATTACTGCATTTAAATCACAGATATTAAACCAAATAATATAATAATTGGTCTTTAGTTAATTAGTTCTAATATTTTTGTATAGTAATCCCAATTGCCTGTTACTAAAGTATATTGGTCTGTGTCGTGGTGTAAATACAGTGAAGTTTTGTTTTGTTATATGATAAATTGTCGAGCCAGTGGTAGCCACAAAGGTAAGATAGTGTGGTTGGCTGGTCTCGGACCAACAACGTCTAGCTTGAGCCCAAGACTAGGCCTACTGATGAACTACCATCACAAAGCCAGATTCAATAGAATCAATCACTTTTCTACTAATATAGTTTAGATCAGTTTTAATTTTTTTACCACCCAATTAAGTAAACAACTGCTTTTTAATTTCTTAGTAGACAAGAAAGTCATTCTTTACAGAAAGAGATCGGTAAAATCATCTAGAGTCCAGCAGTATCAGCTGGAGTCTGGTAAATTTACCGAGCCCTCTTTCTACAGGGCACCTTTTTTGAAACAGGCATCATTTGAGTTTCTTCAATAGGCTCTCAGATTTGGACAGATATGCAGCACCTTTGCAATACAATTAAAAGGCTAAATATTGAAAAGGGTTTTTAAATTTTAAAATTCTGTCTCGGAAAGTTGTAATTATAAAATATTATCAGCAAAATTTATTTTAAAAAATCACATTCTTTTGAGGCCCCTTCCTAGAACTGTCGTGTTAATATATGTATAGTTAAATATTTAGTTTACACTAAATTGTTTTTATGGTTCTGTGTTAGGTACATTTTCTACATGTATAGAAGAAATGTATAGATATTATTTGGATTATTTTATTCCGAGCAATATGTTTCCTTCAAGCTTGATTGGTGATTCACAGTATTCTCTCCTGAGCCACTCCTTGACAAATTACATCACAGAATATCCTTTACTCTTCCTTTTTAATAATAAAATAAATTTGTTGAGCTATTGTCATGGTGTTATAATACTTTGTACTGTTGGTAACAAACCTATGGATGGCATAACAAATTAAAATATTTGTCGTGTTTATGTTGATTACTTGTCTGCAATAATCAAGCACAGTGTAACAATTAATACCAACTTCTTCATTTCATACCTCAACATTACACTATAATAGGTAGGTAAGTATTAAATATTAAATTACTCTAATTAAAGCTAGAATAAGTTGTTTTCTTCCAACGTATTTTACATAATGGAGCACTTTTCTCTTATTTTCTTGGTGCCTTTTAGTTGGGACTTCTTCTCCAGTTGAAGAGAAATGTTGCGATTCTTCTCTAGGTTGAGGAGTTCCTGAAATCAGATTTAATGTTGAATCTGTTAGATTATAATATTTCTATCTAACTATGGTACAATGTATCATAGTCTTTAATGTGTCTCTATCAATGTGTCTTTAATTAAGAGTGACTGTTGGGGGACTGAGCAGCATTTCATGTCACTTGGAAATGGATTAGATTGTTATACAAAGTTAGCTGGGAAAGGATTTGGCCTCTCATTGTAATTTATGATATGTCAAACCAGACAAACTTAATTTTTGTACTTGAATTAATAAATTACCCAGCTTCAATTCCAGTTTGAACATCTCAAATTACTAGCAATGTTCTAATTAAAGGGATTGAAGGGTCCATTCCTTCCTTGCTCAACGTGTTAGAAGAACCAGTAACGATTATATTTAAAAATAACAAAATGTGTTATTTTAATAACATGTACAAAACGTACTATATACCGATAGTTATCTATGGTGCTGAAGTTTGGAACATAACAGAGAGGGAATGGAGTAGGGTTCAGGCAGGGGAGATGAAGTTTATAAGAGGGATTAAAGGTAAAACAAGATTAGGCAGAATGAGGAATGAAGAGCTGAGAAGAGGAATAGTTGAAGAGAGTTTCTCAAACGAGTAGAGAAGACGAGATTGAGATTAAGATGGTCCGGTCATGTAAAAGAATGAAAGAAACCGAAAAGAATGAGTGAACTTCTAATGGATGGAAGAAAACCAAGAGGAAGACCCAGAAGAAGGTGGTTCGACGAGGTGAAACGTAATGTGGAAGCAAGAGGAGTGCAATGGCAGTATGTGGAAGAAGTGGAATTGTGGAAGGACAGAAGAAGATGGAGATGCCTAGTGAACACCCAGACCCGAAGATAATCGGAGCAGGAGAGGACATGTATGTATGTATCAAAATGTGTTTTTATTGTATTCATAACTGACAAAACATCATTATTGAAAAATATAATAATCATTTAAAGTTAAAAATAACTCAAAACTTTATTTTAAAAATATTGTTCGATTTTTAGTGAGATGAGATCATCTGATGCAGATACAATTCATTTCATCTATCCTGTTTGCTTTTTTGATAGATGATACCAAATTTTAAGATGGGCTCGGTGGTTCAATTCAACTACCCTTAACTTTTTTTAAACCACCCTATACGGGCTGCACACTTTAACCTCCCTTTCAGAACAACTTAAGAAAGAAACCAAGCCAATCCGTGTCAATAATAAGCTGACAGAATTACTGCCAGAGAGATTCTTAGGCGTTGAAATAGAGTTACTCGAACATGACTAACTGGGGAATGACCCTTTATCGGTTTCAATTTTGTAATAGGTTATGTAGTTAAAATCATCGGTCAAATTTTAATATACTTGAAAATTGCTTTTAAATATACTATGATTCTTTCTCTGTTCTCTATGAACTTGTTCAGTAGAGAGTTGATTATCCAAAACAAAGACACTCGGGTAACTAATTTTTTCATATATTTGGTAATTGACAGGAAAATTGAAGTACATTATAATATTTCAACTTCAAGGGAAATCGTTCTGGTTTATTTTACAAATCTACATGTAGTTTGTCCTGGTTTTGATTGTCACCGGCAATAGTAGCAACACCAGTGAGCGTATCTTGCAGTCCCAGCAATAATGGTAAATGTCTCCCACAGTCGCGACAACACCCTTTATTTCTTTTCTTCGGGTAACCGACGTTTCAAATGACCGTACATCGGATAATTGACACTATATACTGTAAATATATTTTCGATTCCAAAACTGAACTAGCTAACCTTTAACATGAAATGACTTTGTAAGATTCTGTAACCTCACAACCGTCCTGAAAGATAATCTTTGCTACGTTGGACAGTTCTGGTACCTGAAAGAGCTCCTTGACGTTGTGGTTGGTCTTGGCGGATGTCTCCATGAAGTGACATCCCCACCTCTGCGCCTCCGCCTCCCCCTCCGCCACTGACACCTCTCGGTTTTCGTTCTCGTCACACTTGTTGCCCACCAGCATCACAGGGATGGACTGCAGCTCGTTGGGGCCCTTGGTCTCTCTGATCACCTGGGACAAATTAACCATCAGCTTGTGCTCTGCTTCTTAAAAACTTCTTTTGGGTACAGGGCCCCATGGTGCAAAATACAAAGTTGTTGAAAGTCCTTGAATTTGATGTCATTTCTGTCAATAAAAAAAAGAAAAAGGAAAAGGTATAGATCCCAATATTATATGTTGCGATTTTTGTTGCTAGTCTTGTTGGAATACTACTTTTTGATAGTACGGAGCCCCGTACTGAAGGTTTTTGCACTGGGCCGTGCACCATCCAAGGCCAGCTCTGTCTGTGTAAAACCATGGACAAAAAGAATTAAATATAGACCGTCAGCCGTGCTGCGGTTACCATAGGTTCTGGCGCACACCGCTGGGAGCGCCAGAACCTATGGTAACCGCAGCACGGCTGACGTTCTATATTTAATTCTTTTTGTCTATGATACAACTGTGTCACAGACAAAAACTCATAATTATTTTAATGTTTCACTTCCAAATGTCAGCACTTTGTTATAAACTTCTGTCATGGACCGCTGGGTCCAGTTTTTGTGTTGTTTTTTTCCATTCATTATGAAACACAATAGTTTCAATACTAACAGCTTCAAAGCTGATGTGAGTGAAAAGATTTTAAGTGTACGAGTATGTATAATTTCACGTAATGGGACAGGTTTTCATAATTATGTTTCCGCTTGATGCTTGTTCACACTACCAAGAAAAAAGCAGTAAGTTTCATCAAAATTTTTGGAAATACCTATGAAACCACTCACAAAGTATGTAAAGAATTCTTAACATTTATAGAGTATTGGAAGACATTCTACAGCTGTAGGAAAGGTGTGAGTAGTCGAGTTATTTACTTTGTATCTACGACTATGCAATGTTTACCTCCCAGATCGGCCTGAGCTCCTCCAACGACTGGCGAGACGTGACGGAGTACACGAGGATGAACGCATGTCCCTTGGATATAGAGAGTCGCTGCATAGCAGGGAACTGGTGAGACCCAGTGGTGTCGGTGATCTGAAGAGTACAGATGTTCTTGTTGCAGCTTATTACCTAGGGGAAAAATTGCAGTTATTTTATGATTCAATCTTTTTAAGTATTAATTTTAGAAAGGGAATAGATATTTTGATGGAGGGTGGTTTTGGTTTTTGAGTAATTTTAGTTTAAAAATTAAAATGGCCGCCATTTTGAAATTTTTAATTGAATCAAGAATTTAATTGAATCTTTACTACCTTAAGCTACATACCAAGTTATATAAAGATCTGTAAAAAAAATTAAAAAATAAAAATGTTCATGTAAACATTTCAAAATTGTGGATACCTGGTTAACGAAGTGATTTAGGAAAAAAATGTTATTCTTGATTTTCTCTTTATTTTGACCCATAGAACCATTTCCCGGAGTTTGGCTGTTTCTTTACGGAACACCCTGTAGTATGTTTAGTGTAAAGCCATTTTAATTTTGAAGACATTGGCTTTGGCGGTAGCAAAATAATAAGAACGGTTAGGCCTACCGGCCTACCCATGAAACTAAAATTTACTGTATTTATAAAATGTTATATGTAATTTAAAAATCATTACGTCAACAATAATGACAAATGGCATACTCAGAAAGAATTTTTTAACACACCTAAAGACGATTTTTTACCTATTCAGTTGATAGGATGTTAAATCAAAAATAGATTTTCTTCGCAAGAATCAAAATGGAATAGGAGCGAAATTTTTGTCATATGATCAATGATTTTAAAATTATCGAATTTTATATCTGACTGGTTTTTATGCGTTTTCAATTCATTATACCAAAAATGTGACAGTTTTGCATTAGTTAGGCCATTTCTGACTATCTTCACATATTTGTTAACTTGTATTTGCTGTGCCTCCTGTTGTACCTGTCGGTAGGTGTCCTCTATGGTGGGGATGTAGGACTCTCTGAAAGTCCCTTTCACGAACCGTAGAACCAGGGAACTCTTGCCGACCCCACCAGCCCCGAAGACGACCACCCGGTAATCATTACTCTGTTCGGGCATGGTCGGCTGTTTCCGCCGGTCTTCGGTTACGCTACCCCTTACACACCACCTGGACAAAGAAACGTCATGCCATTGAATGTTACGCAATTCACCCTCCAAAATCACACACAATCTTACAAAATTAACAATGGAATGGATTGATTTCTAAATTAACTATTATCATTTACATTAACGTACAGACGAAGAACTGGTATTCTTTATATATTGATAGTTTACGACAGCAGACTATCGGTAGCTCAAAAGAATTAGTTAGTATTTTATTTTGTTTTCAACGGTGAAGGCCATTACACAATTGATTCAGGCAATTAAAGGCTTTGCTTTGTATTGCTATTGTAATACTAGAGACTAGAGCATTACCTATACTTCAAAATTGGGTTGTTTTCTCTGAGGCATTGCATCTATAGTCGAAGTATTTACTTCATGAATGTCTTTACCATCGTAGCAATTATTTCACTCACGTTTCCGTTCGATTTCCTTCCTCTATAAAGAATTGTCTTATATGACTAAGCCAACCTTCTAACTTTATGATGATACAAAAACATAAAATGGCCATAGGATGCGATCGCAGTAAGATTGTATTAAAATATCCTTACTTTACAGTGAAACTGGCTTACAACAAATAATAATACTGTACTAACCAATATTAAAAAGAAACTGGAAGTTACAATTTTGATAAACATAAACATTCGGCCAATCAAGTTCAAGATTTGTTAGAAATGAAGCTTATGTAACTGTATAAAGAGGTAGTATTTTTCTAATTTTAAATTTCAGAGCTTACAATTAGGGGTTTTTTTTTAATTTTTTTACTCTGAAACTTAACACATTGTAATAAATTTAAATATAAAAGTTGGCCCGTGAGATCAAATTCCAACTCATACGGTAGTATTTGAATTGTTTCCCAACTAACGTATGGACAAATTAACGAACTATTTTGTCAAAAGTGGGTTGTGTTGATTTATTCTAATGGACGAAGTGAGTGTTTCATCCACGAAGTATAAATAGTAATTTGCCCTTTACAGAATAACGCACAGGTCAATCGTTTACTCCCACCTCCACGTCGCTATTGTTGTATAGTTCTCAGACGAGAATAAAGTTAATAAGCTGAAAATATATTATAGGCCATAGATGGTTATTTCAAATCGACCTAGAAAATATACACTTCAAATCTTGTTCAGAATTGAATATTTCATCATGTTTCATGCAATTATTTATCAGTAATATTTTATTTAAATGGCTAGAAAATTATTTAATGGAAAACAATGCCTACCTAAACATGACAACATATGATTCTTTTGTTGAACAAAGCCTATGGATGCCACAGTCAAAGCTATGAAATAGTTTATTTTAATATACTTGGCCAAGGTGCATGAATTTTGAACGGTAGACAGCTTAAACAGCTTAAGAGATACGGAATTTATCGGATGGTTAATTTGAGTAACTTTGAATCTTTCACATGACACTAGTGATTCATTTCTCAATTTTAAATACTCGTATCAAATTCTAAAAGTCGGTGATGTGGTGATTACTAAACAAACAAAGTAAACCTCACCTAAACTGTTGTTTTTTTCAATGTTTGCATAGGCGACTTTTTACTGTTAAACTTCCCGATGTATGAATCAGCAATAAATTATTGATGATTTGTTAAAGAAATAACAAAGCAATACAGCCACCCCAAATTGTTGAACATTGAAATACATGTTTATTCCCAATAACCATACAATACAAGCTTGAGCCTACACTTTTAAGTCAAATATAACATGTAGTATCCCTCACGAGTTTGTGTTTCAGAAAATTGTATGAAATGTATTGAACGAATTAAATACTTTAAATACACACTTTTGAAATAAAGCTGGCTGTGGAAACTGTCGCTAATTCGGAGAATTTCCCTTAAGCCAAACGGTGGTTGTCTCTTCTAGTTACTTATTGCCGCAAGATGAAGAGGCTACCTCCGGTAAGTTGAGATATTGGAGTACAGGGGGAGGAAGACTAAGGATAATGTGCTTAGCCTACGGAAGTTGTAACGTCGCCAACCTGATTTATATTGCGGCAGTTAGAGATTATAACTGCCAAGTAACGGACGTTAAGTTATATTACCAAGACGGATATTGTCGTCGACGTCAACAACGCAAATAGAATACAATCAAACTGGTAACATCGTTTGTAACATCACGTCATTTTGTAGTTCTCTGGAGTCCGTGTTTTGGCAGCGTTCCATTTTAATAACGTTCACTTGACACAATTTTAATTTAAAGACAAGTAGGATTAAAGCTCTTACAACTCGGACACTTTTATTTCTTTGACGTTTTTCTTTTTTAACGTAAACGTTTGATAAAATCGGTTAGGCCTATTTACTTTTAATCGCTCTTGAAGATTGGTGGCAAATACATGACAAGGTAAATATCTAATTGTAAAAAAATTTCTTAAAATGGCTATCAGATAAACTAGCTGTTACCCACGGGCTTCATCCCGTTTGACTTCAATTAGTATTAGCATTGATAAAACTATGTTTTATCTATGGTATTAGTAAAACCAAAGATTATATATGCTACGCAAAAGACTATATATTTTATTAATATACATAATATATTTTTATTTTATATATATTTATATATATATTTTGCGTAGCATGTAATCTTTGGTAAAACTATTGACTGGTTCAGTTAAGCTGAAATAAACAAAACAGAATACAGTTATACAAACAAATAATCACATCTGATTTTAATAAGGTATTAATTGAAAGAATAACAAACAAATAAGTACAGCTGAGGTATTTTTAACATTATGGAAGGTTCCCTTTAGAAAGGAATTACGACCTTAAAGAGCAATTTATGAAATAATGGATAGTTTTGCGCAAGGTTTCTCGTCATGACGAACATTGTAAGTATATGGTTTAGGGGGATGTGACTTGTTAGTTTTCTCAAAAGCTCATGGGTACTTTGGTAATTAATTGGATACGATGCATGTGTATAGCTCCAAATTTGTATTTATACCTACATCGTGTTAGGTGGATGTGTAGGTGAAAGTGTATAGTTGAAGGTCATGGAAAGGTCAATATTGCGTGCATTCAGTTAAAATGTAGTAAAACCACTTTGGTGAGTATTTAGTTCGGTGTTCGATTGTTAAGGCCCACAGAAAACACTTCAATGAAGGTGTTCACTCTAAACAAAGATTAGGAATATTCTATTATAAGTTATAGTCTGCGCATTTCAGTATATCGTCCAAACTGTGACGTCTCTCAAAATAGTATTTACACGGTTTAAGTTTAAGTACATTTTAGTTTCAAAATTGTAGGGGTCATAATATGTAATAGCATATAATCGTAATTATATTTTGTTGGAAAATTTACAATTTAAAAGTAAACAAATAAACTCATTCGACGAATTTAGTTTGTTTTGTCGTTTTATAAAATGCTGGCTGGCACTTAATGAAGCGTTGTCAAATAGAATACGGCCGAACAATGAGTTTAGAATCGTAAAGATGGTCGATTTGTTACCAAGAAGAGCTGAAATTATAAATATTTTTACTAATTAAAAACTGAATAATAAGGAAATGCGCAACAGCTTGGTACGATTCTTCAAACGTAAAATAATTCACTAATGATACAATAATGTAACAAACAAATGCTGTATTTTGTTTACCTTGATATTCAGTGTTTTCGTCGGCTTTTGTAGTAGAATGTAAGGAGAAGAGTAAAGCAAGATACGTGGATTAAGGAAAATCTTGAAGCAGAAAAACATAGTTCAAAAAGCTTAAGTGGGACGACCGAAGAAGGCTTAGGTCGTTTTATGTGACTTTGATGATTTTATTAATGCTACTTCAACAGTGAAGTAGGTCAGTTTGAGATGGTATACCTTGACACAGCTATTGCCTACTGCACCGAAGCAAATAATTATTGAATTGCTAAAGCGATACTTATGGTTACACCCGACTTTGAATTGTTCAGATGCATCTTTTGCATCTAAATATAAAATATTGTACAAAGAAAAACACAACAGTAGTGGCGTTGTCAAAGAACATGATTATGATCATGAGTATGGTTATGGTGCTCAACTTACAATCAAGTTTTGCGATTCGAGCCAGAGAAAAGCCAGTAGTTTCTTGAAGGTTCGCAGTCGGACGCTCCTTCATCCTTAGGCTTAATAAATGGCTCTGGTAAAGAAACATCACCTTATAATAGTCATAACACTGATCAGCATTCTACACTCACCTTATATTCGTATTCAGGTTAAAATACTCACTTGACATCAAAACTTCGCTGTCTTAAAAATAATCTATACTATTATGTAAAAAATCTAAGGGTGTCTGTCTGTATGTGTATTACTATAGTAAAAACTACTGAACCGACAGGGCTTAAAATTTTACAAAAATATAGCTAGGCCTACCATACCAATAATAATGGTCACAGGACTATTCACACTTCGATACTGACTGTGGGCTTTGTCCCTTTGGCATTAAAAGTTCTAAGGTCAGAATTTTAAAAGTAAATATTGATTGGTCTCCATGGCTGCAATGAGAACAATCACAATGTTTAAATTCGCTTTGTAACAAGAAGGGCTGCCAAATTGCTTATTTCACAATTTCAGACAGCTGATTCAAAGAAATTAAATACAACCATACGGTGTATATTTAATCTAAAACTTTATCATAGAATATTTGTTCTAAACTATGTCAATGATTATAGAATTTAAAATTGATTTAGATTTGTTAATGTGTCTAAGTTATGATAATAATGTTATTAATATATTTTCATTGAAACTTTTTTACATTTAGGTTAGTTTAGTATTGTGTTTTGCTACACCTATGTTTGAATTAACCTAAAGAATATCATAAATATTTAATTTGTACGCTGTTTAAATTGTTGTGTTCTAAAGTCTGAGGTGTATGTGTAACTATATTTAATTATTAAATTATAGTACAAAATACAGTACTCCTATTTTATCTTCACATAGTTATGCTACACCACTGATTAAATTAAACCAAGAAAAATATCATAAACTAAGCTCTACCCTACACCACTTTCCTTCCACCATGGCTCTACACAGTCTTTTT